TTTTCCAGAAGCTAACAGTACAAAACTTTCTGATTTGTAACCTGAGGCAATAATCTCTAATGCAATTCATCTAACAGGCCATAAAAAAGAACTGAGAAATGGAAGGACACTGTCTTTAGAAGTAGTCTTACACTCCTGTAATTCCAATTTGCCACTGTTGCCAGATTATGACATCTAATATCAAGAGCACTATCAAGCAGCAAGGAGAAATACGTGTCTGCCTTATTAACTTTTTCTTCTGACAATAATGGAGAGATCAGCTTATTTTTGGAACAGAATTAGAAAGAGCACCATTATTTATATGACCTGAAATTTACCTTTTTACCTTTCTCAAGAAGACATAGCCAAATGCTCATAACTTATACGCTTGAGTAACCTGTTTTAAAAAACCACGAGCATTACATATATTACATAAGCAGGTTTTCATCAGAATTCTGCTTAGTGTTCATTGCTATGTAGCAGTCTTGGCTAGATTGACACATACAAAAACTGTATCTTGCAGGAGGCTGCAAAGACAGGCAATTCTTAAATGGGTGAGCAGCGTTGCCAAATGAAACTGTGAAGAATCTTGTTAATTATTCTTTGTCTGTATAATTGTGGAGCCACCATCATAGCTTCTTCACACCACTATGTTCCTGTACCAAAGGCATTCTCAGATAACAACATTCTGTGCCAGCCACTCTGTCACTTGATTTTTGGGACAACTGGGACAGAAGGAAATGAAGGTCCCATATTTTTACTTAATAATCAGGGAATTTTTCACTTGCTGGTCAAGGAATGATTATCAAGAAAAATTAAGACCAAAAGGCAGCTCTACATGTCAGCATAGGCACTGTATAGGACATATAGGAAAGGCTTTTTACTACTGTGAAGCAACAGTATATCTTAACAAAATCAAATAAAGCAAGCTAAAACCTCAATTTCTGGTAAGCCTGTAATACAGTCCACATATTTAAAAGGCTGCATCTTGTATTATATTACATTATTTTATAGTGACTATACTATATTCTATTGTGTTGCACTGCATAGAAGAATGTAGTACTGAAACAAAGACCTGTCAAAACGCAGGATTTCGATTTGACCACGAGGTGGGAGCATTGCTCATCACACATACCCCGGGCACAGGCTTTCACCGCATGCAGCAGCTGTTGAACATGTAAATATCCTGTATATTTCTGTGCTAAAATGTGCATGTTACCACTGAAATAATAAGTTGTCAGGACAAACACACAAAAAGGGAACCTTTTATTTGTCTATAGTTTGTAGCTGAAAGAGTATATTTGATTGAATAAACTGCATTTTGGTCCCTGGAACAAAGAGTTACACTGAAACCTTTGCATAAACATTGCAGAATCTCTTCCCAGTGAGAAAAAAAATGAGGAGGTGGTAGAAATACTCTGTGAAAGTGGTAATTACAGAATCATGCAATCAGAATAGTTTGGGTTGGAAGGGACCTTTAAAGGTCATCTAGTAAGACTCCCCTGCAATAAGCAGGGACATCTTCAACTAGGTCAGGTTGCTCAGAGCCCTGTTCAACCTGGCCTTGAAAGTCTCCAGGGATGTAGTATCTACCACCTCACTGAACAAACTGTTCCACTGTTTGCCTACCATCACTGTAAAAATTTCTTCCTTATATCTAGTCTGAAGTGGGGAAGAATAATTTTCTCATTTGTTGTTAGTTTCATGAGCAAAAAAAAGAAATTGCAAAAAAAGAAAGATTGGATTGTAGATAAAAATCATGTCCATGTGACTTCTTACAGTTTCACATGGGAAAATTAAGTTTTCCAAAATGGTTTAATAGTGTTCTATCCCACAGGAAACTTTTGATAAACTACTTGTGCTAATGATGTCCCTGATAGGGCTGCGTCTTTATGTGGGAAATGGCAGCCCCACATTTCTTTTCTTGGAATGGAAAAAAAGGGCAGTACTGAGTACGAAGCAATACCTTCCACAGAAAAAAAAGCCAGTACTATGAAGATCAGATTAACATGCGGAGACTAACCTTCAAGTTCAAGAGACTTGCACAGGATTTTGAAGCAGTTAAGTCTGAAATCCAAGGCATGCAGCTTGCATAGCCATCCTCAAGCTAGGTTTAATATCATTGGCTTTGGTATGGATAGACTCAGGGGTACAAAGCTCTGTCTAGATTCATAGTTCGTCGCTGTCTCAGCAAGCTTGACTCCCATTCCTGGAGGCACTGGAAGTATTATTGGGTAGCTTCAAGGTAATTGACACAGAAGCTACATTTCACACCTGTGACTACAGCGTAGATGTGCAGTTTCAACATCTTTGTTTCAATGGATGGATTTTATTATGTGTCCCTGGTCACTAGGTTTCTCACATAGTAGAAGGACAAACATATCAGAATCACTCTGGCATGTATGTATTCCTATAAGAAGATATTACAATGACTTTCTTTGTATATAATTAAAAAAGCAACTTGCATACAGATCCTACAAAGATTTATTCAAAATATATTCTGAACTTTCTTCTCTGGATGTAGGATGCCTGCACCACAGGACAGGGTAGCAGTATGATGTCGACTGAGTTCAGGGCTTCAGCTGATGCTAATGGGTAGTGGTGAGAAAGCTTAAGCCCTTGTGGTAAATCTACACACACAGGCACCTGTTTAATACAAATACCCCCTGAGCTACATACTGAATAGAGGTCGGAAAACCCAAGAACAGAACAGAGGTTGTAAAATCCAAGTACCCTTGACCCTGAAAAAAGTCCAGGCTGAGTTTAACTCACCAGCAAACTACATGTGGTGAGTGCATTATAGCCATAACCTCAATCTTTTTAACTCCCCAGCTCCATCTTTTTCCCCAGCATATGGCATGTGAAAGACCATGCACTGGCACCAGAGAAAACAAATTTTCGCGTAAACATTTCAGTAGCTTGCAAACAGCTATGTATTATCCATGGATCATGTTCCTTTTTCCATATGCCTCTCATGGCTGGTAAGGAGATTTGCTCTGGAGTAAGCAATGGACAGAACAGGTTGTGCTGTATTTGGCAAAACAGAAGTGCCACGTGCTTTATTTTCTTAGGTGCATAATTCACAATTTTTCTCTTGATTTTTATCAATGAGATCATTATCTATAATCTGCCTCTACAGTGTCTGAATGAAAAACATTCAGCTTACAAATTGTCCTTCTAATGGACTTGCATAGTTACAGTTGCTTATTCACTGTATTCAACTGGTCCCATGATATTAGTCTTTTCCCTAAAGGGATGATTTGTACTTGTTATTTGTTATTTTTTCTCCTGTAAGAGGAGAAAAAATAACAAATAACAAGTACAAATAACATCAAACAAAGATGAGCAACTTGCAAGCAACCAAATTCACACCCTCTATCTTCAAGTCTGCATGAAATATTCACTTCTTGGTCCTCCAGCCTAACTAAATAGGTGCCCCTAATCTTTCTAAGACCTTGACAGTGAAGGCCTTCAAATGTAACCTTGTCCTCAAAGTTAGGGATTCATGGGTCTACTCTCTTGGCTGGGCTGGTGCTCCTGAATACTCTTTAAAGCGCCACAGTGTTTCTGCATCCACCTGGTCCTGCAAGGGCTGCAGCCTTCCAGCACAGCTGTTGCTCAGCCATCACCCACTGGAGCAGGGAGAACAGTCATTCTGCCCATTAATCCTTCTGGGGTTTTGATAGTTACATACAGAGCTGCACATACTCATGAACATCTGAAAAGTAACATGTTATTTGAGTACGTGTGCTTAATTTCTGCATAACCGCACTAAGAGCTGTTAAATGGTATTTGTTCAAGACTGTTTTCCTGACAGACATATAACTCAACTATGTAAGTAATGTGACCTCTTAACAAAATAACTGAATTCTTCTAAACAATTGCTACTAAGGAGCCTCTTAAGAAAAAGCATATATTTATGTCTGAAATAAATACAAGCTTCTAGATGAAATTTTCTACATTTTTAATTGAGGTAAAATATTTTCTTCTTATTTGCCACATTTGCTAGAGCAATAGGAATTTAAATATTTCTTAAAGAGAAGTAATAAAAGAAAACATGGTATCATACTAAACTGCAGTACTTACAATGAAGTTGTCTTTCTTGACCATCAAAGCAAAGCACTGTATTATTTACATTTAGGAATAGCTATGATTCAGTGAATTTCACTGAGACATACACAGAAAATGCTAGAAAACTTGTTTCCATTTAGTTTGCTACCTAATACTTCAGCAACTGCCTTAAGTAATGTGGATTCAGATACTATCTGAGAGCCCTGTGGTACACAGGTGAGGAAGTGCATAAGAGTAAACACACCACAGAATTTAGAGTTATTTTTCCAGTTTGCTGAGGCTGCTAAAAATGTCTGTGAATCTCTACACTAGGCTCAGACTCATTTGAAATTATTCCCAGATGACCATGAAGTCATTCTACGGCTTGGAATTGCTTCAGTTCAACCATGTTTCATCAATTCCCTTTTCAGTAGAGGACCTCTATGCTGATATGTTCGCTGCTGCTTGCTTCTCACACCACTGGTTTGACAATACTGGGCAAATTCCCCTTCAGACAATTAAGTCAAGAAAGCTTTGTGTTTGTATTGGTGTAGTATAACGTGATCATGTAAAACAGGGACATCTTGTGCAGTATTTTTCTTAGCTCTGTTTTCTTCATCTCCAATGCAGCCTGTCCTTACAGACAGCAGAATACAGCCCAAAGAAAGTCAAAAGGATAGAATCTCACAAATCCGCATTTCCTACTATGCAACTCTAATAATCCAGGATTTTTCTTTCAGGCACTGCGCAAAAATTGATGGATAAGGCTTACCAGCTCAACTAAATGGTGCTAGGCATCATGTGAAAGGAATGATTTTCCCTCAGAATGCCTTAATGGCTTTTTTTCAAATCTAATGACTGTTTCTCTTAAGTCTGTTTCTGGTTACCACATTTTTTTTTTGTTTTAGAATAAACTACAGATATTTAGGAATCAAAAGATTGCATATAAAAATGGGTGACATTGTCCTTACCATCTGTTTTCTTTGATTCATCCCCCACACTGGACTTATCTCTTTTGTCCAACTTATTGTCTTCCTTTAATTCACCTAGAAAGAAGCAATAAGAAACATTATAAGGATTTTAATGCAGACTGCAGTTTATTAATGCCTATAACTCAATCAAATGGGAACATCCAAAGGAGATGTTCCTTAGGAGGAAAAGTCTAAATTCAAAAGGAATAAAGCACCAAAAAAAATTATCCATCTCCTACAGAAAAGCAAGCTTTACAATCTACTTTTAAATGTATTCTAATTTTTAAAACCATTTAAAGTGCACATGCAAACTCTTAATCCCTCTGATTGTATGCAGGCCATTAAAAACCTGAGTATAAACTTAATTTCAAAATCAGGACTCACAAACATTTATGCTTTTAAGGGACTAAGACGCTGCAAGACTTCATCATAAGTTTCTGTTTTAAAGAACCACCTTAGATATCCTAAACAGGCCTATATAATTTTGTCTTGCTTTCTCTTACCAGATTCTGTTATCCACAGATTCATTTGGGTTGGTCCTTTGATGACTGTATCAGGGAATAATCATCCTAGCATTGATAACTGCCTTTAGAGTCTCTGTAGCAAACCAGAAAATCAAGGCCTTTGGCAGAGCAATGGTTGATGCAAAATTAAAACGGCAGCTTGAGCTGGGGGGTATTTTATGAAGCCAGGAAAGTTAACCAGTCATTCTCATTTTCTGTCATCTATTAGTCATACAGCAGAGCACATCAGACTTTCCTAGACCATCCCTTCATTGAATGCGAATGCTGAATGCAAGATCAAATAAAAAATAACTTAAAGGGAGAGCTGCAGCAGAACAAAGCTATTTCAGTTGCAGTGTCCAAACAGCAGCAAAGAAGGTGTCCTTTCAGACATCCAGTGAAACAAGACCAGTCTGTCCAGATGGGAGCAGGCAGTTTGTCCTTTCCTCATGGAGTAATGGCTGTGAATTTGTAACACACACTTTAACACAAAAAGCTGTAAAAGTCTTGCTTCAGAATTTTGTAAACATGAGGTATGCTACAGGGCTGTATTAAAGTGATGCTTATTCCATTTCTATTCCTGTTTTGGTACTTCCCAGTCTTTGGATCAAGATTAAAGGTATTACATGTTAAAGAGGATCTGTTCTGCCTTCAAAATACTCATAGGCAGTGGATATTTATTTTTGGAACAGCTCCAAAAAAAAAAAAATTGAAAAGAAGCATGGTCTCCCTCTTCCACAATGTGCCCTAACCACTGACATGTTTGTTATTCTTGGATGGCAGTGGATCAATCTCTCTCTCCAATTAAGATCCATCATAGTAGAAAAGAGGAATGGTTTTCAAATCTTAAAATATTTAACAAGATGGGAAAAAAGCATGTTTTGTTCAGCTTTTATACAAAACTTTTCAGGTTTTTCTTCTTAAACTCTCTGTATGTGTGAGAGGAAAATGAAAGCAAGATGATACAGGACAAGAAGCACCCTCCTCAGCTGATCACACTGACACTGACTTGGGGTACTTGAACAGAGAGGTATGAGCAGATCTAAAGAGGGTTTAGGTGTCTGTTTGATAAGGGTGGCCTTAAAAAAAAAAAAAAAGGATACTATCTTCAGGAAATGAAATAAAAATGTACCTAGCAAAGCACAAAAGTCTTCTTGCATTTCCTCCACCATCATACAGATGATGGTAATGATGAGATAATAATGGTTTCTAACCATTGCATAAAGAAGTTGCTTGACCCTAACTGTGTGCAGGAAAAGATGCTGAACATCTACACCCACATTATTTCACAGTTCAGTCTCTCAGAGAAAGAACACAGGCAGTTAATGACAGAGAGACTTTAAACTCACCTGACACACAATTTCTGAACTTTCATTGAATATTATGAATAGGAGACTTTTGAGTATTGTAATATCTACCCTGCCATAGTGCCAGCAGCAGAGCAGAATGATAATCATAATGATCTTTCTGAAAGGGATTAAAGAAACAGAGAAATAATGAGGCAAATACATTACGATGAGATATTAACATAAGGGAAGCTGTACTGAATCCAGAGATATGAATGTGAAGATCATCAGTCTCCAAAGACTCTGCAGTGATTGTACCTCCTAAAGGTACATAATCCCATAAATTAAGGAGCAGAATTTCTTTTCCTGAGGAAGATGCTAATTTTCAGAAATCACTATAATTCCTTTCAAAGCACTTTTGACACCTGCAGCTGAGAAGCATTGCAGAAAAAGGTACTATCAAAATTACTAGAGAACACTTAATCCCCATGCTGTTAGAAGCATGTAAAACAAAGGATTTCAAAATAAATGTTTGATGCAGTCCAACTGGGATTTCATATGTCCCTAACATTTTTGATTTCCTGGGGGGCCCATTCCTATTCACCCATGTAGCACTGAAGAAAAACCATAAAGAGCATGACAGCTCTGATTCCCACAGTCCTTCCAATCTAGAAAAACCCTAATGATGAAGGAATTAATGGGAAAGGCAAGCAACCACGAAAATAATATCAGGAATGTTTTAAATAGAATTTCTGCATCTCCTGCCATCTAAACTCACTGCTTGAACCTGGGACTTTCAAAGCCTATATACTCACTCAGTCTTTTTCTAAGACAAAGTTTCTAAGTGTCTTTTTTGCTAGTTTTGCACTGCCTGATACTAGCCAAGTTTGTGACAAGTCAATGTGCCTGTACTGCCATTTTTTGATATCGGCTTCGGGGAACAACAGTGAAACAACCTAGAGATAACTGGTCTGTTCTCATGGGTATATGTCATGGGTTAAGATTGGCCCCCCCTGAGAGTTGGGGGCTCAGAGGTGACTGGGTGCCAGGGCAGCATTCCCTGGAGAGCCAGTCACCACTCGTCTTGTTCGTTTCTGCTAAAAATCATATATATACAACACCAGAAGCTGTTGGCAGTTTTTCTATTGGTGTCTGTTGTGTGTAGGTGTAGAAGGCCAGGGGGTGGCTGGGCTCCTTCTTCCCCCCTCTGGGGGGGAGAGGGGAGCCCTGCGGCCCCCCCAACTCTGCCTAGGCCAGAGTTAGAGACAGCATTGAAGTGAGTGTTTGTGAGGGATGTGACTCACAAACAACTGGTAAGCGGGAGAGAGAGAGAGAGGCAGGCCTTGCAGCTAGGCCCTCTTCTTCCCCCCCCTTTGCAGCCAGGCTGCAGAAGGGGGCTGTTTTTCCCTCTCGCTGTTTAGTGGGAGTGGATGCAAGGCTCAGCACTGAAGCAAAGCCAAGTGGATGGGCTGATAACAAAACAGCTCGAAGCCAGGGAAAGGAATCCCAGGCAAAATTGGAGACGGGCCAAAGGGCTCGGGAGTTGCCCTGCCGAGGTTTGACCGGGGGCAGCCGAAAACTGACTTAGAGGACGGTACGTTGATAAGCTACACTACAGCAGCCTACACAACGGAGGTATGAGACCAAGAGGGAGAGATCACACAGCAGAAATGACACAGGACAAAGGAGAAAGGACTCAAAGCTACCTTCTTAGACTTCATGAAGAAGAAAGAACTGCAGCAAACAGCTGAAGGTTGGTAGGTAGTGTTCAGAGGCCCCGAACACTCCCATGAGAGAGAGACTGGTTACTTATCAGCCTGAAAAGGCTTTTTCCTGGATTAAAGTTAAAAGGAGAAGCTTCAAAGGGACTGATAGAAGTGTAATGATATATATATAGCTGCTTTTAGTTTGTACAGTATATTTATTTGCGTAAATAAATGTAAATACTTTCCCCTTCCCCTATAGAAGCCTCTGACCTGAAAGTTTTCTCTTCAGTGTTGGGATAAATTGTGAGAAGGAGTGAGAAAGCCTGCAAATTGGATTTTAGATTTCTAATGTGGTTCAAACTGCCACAGTATAATAATTTTTTTTAATGTTTAATGGAATTTTCAAACATTTTTTTCACCTTTATTGGGTGAAGAATGAGATTCTTATTTTAACTCAGTTCTACAGCAAGTTAAAAACACTGGAATAAAATTTCTGTCAAACTCCCCCCCCCAAAAAAAATGAAGGCTTGTGACTATCCTTATTAAAAGAAAACTGAGCAAAAGAAGGATAGATAAAATAAATTGTAAAAAAAGAGAGGAGAAAAATCCTCTGCCTAAAAACATATTTATATTTGAGACTCAAATCAAAGATGCCTTTAGTTGGCTTTAAAATGAGTTTATAAGCCAACTTTGGATTCTCCTCTGTTCTCTCCTCCACCCAAACAATGATGTTCTTTGAAACAAGAATATTTGTTTCAGCTTTCAAAACTCTGTATCATAACAGGCTGCTTCACTTGCATGAGATAAATATTTTTTCCTTTCCTCTAAAAGTGCCCAGGCAGACATGATGAACTCCATCTTCTGTGGAAAAATGCTCCTCAGAAGTTAACATACAGTTTCTGATTTCCATATGCCTACACACAGGAAGAGACTCTGGCCCCAGAACATCCTTTTCCAGGATATCACGTTCCTCCATCACTAAGGTGAGATACTGGTTTTAGGGCTGGATTTATGTTTCAGTGGAAGGAGAGAACTCACCATTCTGGACATGCTGTTTCTCTTCTCCCACTGTGTGATGAGAGTCTGTTCCCTTATCTGTCCTAGGTATGTTTTTCCCTTGAGAGGCTTTGTGTTTGTTCATGCCCCTTTGCTGAGTCTCATTTACAGAATTTTTACTGCAATCTGTGCTTTTGCTTTCCCTAGGATTTGGTTCTTTGCTGTTCTCTGTATTTGTTGCTGTGGTATCTTCAGCTGGCTTCTCATCCTTTTCGCTTTCCTTTTCATCTGTTCCCTGATAGGCATTTTCCTCTGCTTCTTTCTTAGTTTTTTCTTCTGCATCTTCAGCAAAGAGAGAAGCAAAACAAGGAAAGAAATCGCAACTATCAGTCAATTTGACAACTCACATCTAAATCTACTTCAGTATTTCACATACAAACATCTTTTACTTAAAAAAAAGTAGGAAATGACCTGACAACAGAAAAAGAGCACAGGAGAACATTTAACAAAGTATTCTGAAAACAATATCCCAGGCTGGCCCAAATGTATATTATGTGTGTGTCCTTTTTTTACCATATAAAGTTCACCTTTGAAAAAGTGGTTCCACAAAATTCTTAAAAGGCAAAAAGAGATATTAGCTACTGAAGGCTCTAGGGGTGCCAAAGCTATTTTCATTTTTGACACACAAGAGTCAAACAGCATTTAGTCTCACATTGTACTAGCTAACTCTAAGCCCATAAAGTCTTGGTTCTTTGATATCTACTTTTTCTCCCTCTTGTTCCAGGTTGCTTCCAATGCCAGTTTCTTTATCTCTTCCCTTCCACTTAGAGTTATCCTTTCTTTATGGGTCCATCCTTTCCTGGCAGACTAATACATTGCTACTAGTGCTTGCCATGCCATCCTCAAAAGTTTTACAGTCAATCACAAATATACAAAGGTATAAATTCAAAAGTGAATGTTGAACAACAGCAGCACCTCAAAATAATGTCATTCGATTAAAAGAAAAAAATCACAAAGAAGCCGTTTTCCTCCATCCAAGATACTACTCTTGTTCTCGTCCAAACATTAGGTACTTATGTAACACTTACTTGTAAGACAGGTTGCAAATTACTTTTGCTTCAGGTATAGAGACCACTACATTTCTAGCCCAGATCAGGTACAGCACTCCCCAACAGACTCAGCTGCAAGGGCTTTGTTTGGCTTCCTACATCCCACTGAAAAGCAGAACACAACCGCAGTCCCTCAAGACAGCCCTCAAACTAATAAACCTGACTGGGTGTGCACAAACTCTGGGCAGAGAATCCATAATTTTCTTCCCCTTTTGCATGATCAATAGAGACTTAATCTGCAAAAGCAGATGAGTAGCTCAGCAGACACTCAGTTTGGAACCTGTGAGCTTATGCAGCTTCAGATCATAACTGTATCTATACTGAGTCTAGCACAGAGATGTAACCAACCTATTATTGGGTTGAGAATATTCAGGCCTACTCCTTATGACCCCATCAAGAAGTGATTTTAATCATGATAAGAATCCACAGATGTATCTCTTGTTTTCTGAGAGACTACATAAGCTGTCAAACAGAGGAGAAGATCCTATAAAACGCTGAGTGAAGTCTACCTCAGTCCTAGGGAAATATTCTTGACATGTATAAGGAAGATGTTTTGTTCCTTACAGGAGCAGGATCTTGGCCAGTATGTAAAAATTACATTGTCAAATACTTCTTATGAGTGAATCAGAACCAGTTTTAAGAAAAATGTACCAATGGGGTACAAAAGTGTAAAGCTGTCCTTATAAGAAATGCCAATGTGCATTTCCCTTGTCAGCAGCTACATACAGTAAACTAATTTTTAAATTAATAAATTATGGTTCACACAAAAACATAATTCGATTAGTCTTCCTCACTCCACTAATCATTCCTGAAATCTGTGCTAGTTAAGCTATACATATTGATATTTTTTCTGGAGTCTCATAGATTTCACAGAATATTCTGAGTTGGAAGGGACCCACAAAGATCATCAAGTCCAACTCTTCAGTGAATGGGCTGTACAGGGATCAAACCCATGACCCTGGTGTTATTAGCACCATGTTCTAACCAACTGAGCTAATCTCAGAGTACCACTGCATACAGAAGGATTCCTCTCATTTGAGGATCTGAAAAAAGTTATGTTTTGCACCTGAGTCGCAGGAGAGAAATTTGTCTCAGGAGACTACAATACCATTGGATGAGCGCCTCTTGTCAAAAACAGTGTTAGAAAATACTTTATCTAAATAGTGCTTTGCACATCAGGGTGTTTGTTTTGTAGCTATTTAATGATGATTAAATTTAAATAGCTATTTGTAGCTATTTAATGATGATCTTTTAAGTAAAAAAGATCAGTAATAAACCCACTTATTTTGCCTACACAGTATGAGAAATTTTCTATAAATACCACACTTAGGATAAAAACTGCTCACTGAGGCTTCTAGGAACAATGCCATTACCAACGGGAATAGAGCATTGTACAAATAATTTAATAATAATATTAGCTACAAAAGTAACAATAATAGATTCCTTCCCTTCTGATCCCCAACTGCTATTTGCTGTCAACTAACAGGTAATGTTGTATTCTCTTAGTAGTAACTGTTTTCATTGGCAGTGCATAATGACAATGGTTTGGCAAGGGTCTGCAACTTCAGAACCTGCTGAGTGGCAGGCCTTGCTGCATAAGACTAAGGCCAAGGCAGATGGACCCAGAGTGAAGAAAATTGCTGCAAGTCAGGAGCAAGACAGCAGCTGAGCAAAAGATATTGATGAAAGTGCTCTGGAGTCCAAGAACATAGAAAGGTATGCTGAGCCATATGTTTCTATAACTCTTCCAGGATTAAAAAAATATGTATATTTGTACTGCTAAACACACCCAGAAACATTAAAATCAAACTGTTTCCATTTACATGAAATAAAACAACTCCATTAAAATAGGGTTTGAGTAATAACCGTTCCGATCACAGAATAAATTGCATCCCAGTTTCATAAGGAAAAAAAACCAGTTGAAACATTCCTCCTTTTTTGGTTCCAAAATCACCTGAGGGGTCAAGGAGACCTTGGGCAATCATCCAGCCCCTGGAGGTAAGGGGTAGTTATAACTAAATCGTTCTCAAAAGATGGCTCTCATTATTTCCAAAAGAACTCCAATAACAGAGATTTGCTAATGTCTAACTTATTAGACATTATAATAACATTTATAATAACCTGACAATTTTTTTCTCCTCTTAACAGCCCAGGGTATTTGAATAAAAAAATAGTTCCCTTATTTTTCAGCTGAAGTAGTCTTCAAAAAAATGCTTTCAGCTATACACCTATAATGCTTTCAGCTATAGACAAGTTATCATAATTTGCATTGCTGTACTCTGCATTGTCTACAATTGGTCCATATGTTTCCTGAACAGCAGTGGCCAAAACTAGGCACAGCAGGGCTTTGAGGGCCTTGTTACTGCTGGAAAGATAAGAAGAATGCCAGAGGAGTCTCACTAAAGTGTGTTGGGTTTTTTTTTTTTTTAGTGTGTGTGTTTGGGTTGGGTCAGGTTTGGGTTTTTTTCAGTGGTGGGGGGATGTTGGTTGTGATTTTTTTTCAATTGCATCAGAGTATTGAACCCTGGTCAACATTTAACCAACACAACGCTCATATTCTTCTGAAATATTTACAGTCTCTCCCAGATTGATGACATCACAAGCATTTGCAGCATAGCTTCCAATTAATTTTCCAAGTTATCACCAGAAATATGAAACCAGTTATGAATTCAGAATATTCTGTCCTTCTCCCCTGAAATATTATCCATGCCTCTTTCAACCTTAACAATGAACTACTGATAATCTATATCTACAAATACTGTTCCAGTTATTTTTGCACCACCCTGAGTCTGATTCATGGCTTTAGGGGAACTCCCTCACAACTTTTCTCCGTCCCGTTGTCCATATCTTCTTCATTAGGTACACTTACATAAGAAATATAAGGTACTCTTAAGAAGTGTATAAGACACCCTTAAGAAGAGTATAAGGTACTCTTAAGAAGAGCATATAAGGCAAGTATAAGGCACAGACGAGTCACAATATTCCTATCCTTCTGAATACAGTGTAGGTTGTTGAACTCAAAAAGCAGATTCTCTCGAACTAACAGTGCTTACTTGGAGAAAAATTTGATTGAAGAAGAACTTGAAGAAGAAGAGGTCAAAAGAATTTTTATTCTTTTGCTAAGAAGCTTGGCTGTTACCTTTGGTGGCTTGCGCTTTCCATTTCTCCCTGTTCTGCTGCACCACCTCAGTCCAGGTGGCTTTAAAACATTTGAAGTCCACAGTGAGTATGGAGCAGTTAAGTGAGGCACTTCCTTCGGACCCAGTGCTCTTGACACTTGATCTTTTAACTTCGGAGGGACTAATGTTATTTAGGCTGGGGCACAATATCACAAAACACAGAAGAAATCAGTATCCTGTACACCCAAATACAACTATGAAGAAATAACAGCTGTAAGTCACCCAGGAAAAATTAAGCTTGAATCCCTTATCTTTCGCTTCTCTCCTGTCCCACCCCAGGCCAATCAATGTTAAAGCAAAGAGCACAACCAAGCCATTGCTAGAAATAAAAGGCATCTTTTCTCTGACTATTTTTTGGTATCCATGGTCACTATGAAATAGAATCAGTCAAAGTGCTGTCACTACTTTTGTTGTACATCTCCACTCCCTAAATATTATTGGAGAGTAAGACAATTCTAGAAATAAAATATGTCAGAGGAGGAGTCTCCTAAAATTCACTGAGGTACAGGACAGGAAATCCACCTCTGTCCAGGACTTGGTGACCTCAGATGAGGCTGAAATCAGGCACTCGTTTCGGTTACAGATCCTACAGTTGTCTTTCAAGGATGCATGCTTCATTGTGCACATTTTAATAAAGGCAACAAGGTTACCGACAAAGAAAGATATAAGTGCCTGTTCTTTGTTCACCCAAGAGTAAAGAAGTCACCTGGGAGAGGGAACCCTGAGGGTAGCCCTACTTTAGGGAGCACTAGCCATGAGGCATTTGAATCCCAAAACGTGCCCTGTCAATAAACTACTAAAAGAGCGGTATCTCTATAATACAGTTTGAATGGGCCAAGACTTCTACACCTGAACTCCAGGTGAATTCTGGTGGTTCTTCACACATTTGCATAACAATACTGTCACAAGAGTGTGCTTATACTTTCCAGTCATCATTTTTGTTTCAATCCCATTTATACTTCTAGATGTGAAGAAATGAGGGCCTTCCAATGACTCTATTTACCTTCTCTCTGACATTAGTGACTGAGAGAGCACTGAAGTGTACCTGATTGCATGGCTACAACCATTTGTGCTCACTGCCTTTGGAGGTATGACTCAGGTTCATGCCACCCTACCTCTTTGCCCTCCCCCAGGCACAAAGACACCTCACAAGATGAGCTGTAGTGTTGGCAATGCGGATATGGGTCTTTAAGCCACATGGAAAACATATACTGTAGGGGAGGAAAACAGAGGAGTTGAGTGCAATAGCAGCACGTGCAGAGTGAAGGGGAAGGTGCAAGGTTATTCACCTGGAGCGCCTGAATCCGGACATGCCAGAGTGGGAAGCTTCATTGATGAGTGGAGTCACAATCTTCTCTGTCATGTCAGTCAGCACAGTAAAAGTGGGTTCCACAATGAAATCAATGAAACCTGAGCAGAAACACAAGGAGAGCCAGGCAGGCAAGAGGAGGATTTATGCAGAGTCCCTGCTTCAGTGAATACAGAAAACCACACTGTAGATGACAGTGTAAAATATTATACTTGAAAGAGAGATAGGCAAATAATAAAAAGAGGAAATTGAGTTATATATTAATCCCTGGCCCAAGAGCCTGGATACAGTATACAATAAAAGATACCTACTTAAATACGGGCAAGAAACTGTGGTAAATCATGACATCAAAAGATTCATCAAGATTTGTTTTATATGAGGAGTAGTGTGATATTGAAGTCAAATTTCTAGCAGATTTGGATAAACTCCGGTTTCAAAGAAGAATTCTTTAAAAGCAGAAAATAAATATAACCGTAATAATACCAGTAAGTTTTGCTGGTGTGGAGTTACACAAGAACGTCCTTTACTGCGCGTCAGCATTCACGTTGCTGTGAATACTCTCTCCTCAGTGCTTGGTCAGCTTTTTCTTGTTGATAAGAAAACAGATTTAGATGCTTTCCCCACATTTTTAAAATAAGTAAAGGAAAAAATAAAGGGCCAAATAATTTCTACTTCATCATACAGCTTGACAGAGATGAATATGGCTCTGATCTGAATGTTGGGAGAGCAGACTTAAGGGTCTTGTGGCCATAAGCTCATGAGATGGATGAAAATCCAAGTTGCATGGACAAAATGTGAGAGTGAGGAGCTTACAGTACCTTACACGTTTTCCTAAATTCCTTTACCACTTCAGTTAGCAAATTTCTTAGTGTTGCAGGTAGCCAAGAAAACAATGATGTCCTTAATCTCTCATAAGGCACATTGGGATCCAGGTTACAATTACTGTTGTCAGATGTTTTTTGGTAACGTTATTACTGTTACAAATCCCTACTGTTACAATTTTCAGAGATTTGTTAATTATCAAGTATTAATTATTCCTTAATAATATTGTAGTTTCTCTGACTTGATCATTATATGTTTCTACAGCACTGGTGATTCTAGGTGATAACAGAACAACAAAAGAAGAAGAGACCACATTGTTCAGGCACCTGAATTCACAGATGCTTTGATCCACATCCCAAGTGCAAAGCAGTTGAGCATCCTTCTAGTTCAATTTCCCTTCCCTGATTTTTGCTAAATTTCTAAAAGAATGGATTATTAAGTGTATTTTCATGCCTGGTCAAATTAAAAATGTTACTTTTAAGTAACATTCTGTAAATCTGGAGAAAATACACATTCGGTCATATCCAAAAATCTGAATACTGTGCCTCCATAACACTGAGTCAGTCTTATCTACTCAAATTTAGGAAAAAAAGAACTCCCAGGTAGTTAATCAAAAATGTATGTAGCATAAAGCCTGAATAGGAAACTGTATGCTAGATGACAACTCAGATAATCCCAGGAAGCTTTATACAATTTTTTAAAGCACTGGAAATTTTACTGACTGAGAACAGTGTTAAGTGTGCCACAGGAATCCTAAGGATAATAAGAACTTGATTTACATATATTTGTGTGTCTGTCTCAATACATCTCTATTCCCCTTCAAAAACTTATTTACCTCTTAGTGAACAAAGAAACCCAAGCCATGGTACCTTGTTATTCTGCTCAGCAAGTAATACCACTGCCATTTGCTCCATCACCACTAGCAACCCTAAGAGATTCAAATCTCTGATACCAGACACATGACTACATCACTAACTTCAGCAGCAAGGTGTTGGGATTTGTTTCCTCAGATAGTCAACAACTGCACACAAACACAATCTAGCTGTGTTTAAGAAACAGGTTTTCCCTGCAAGAAGTCTTGCAACTCATCAACAAAGATGAGCAGAGGTGGCACAGGTAAACAAACTCAAATACCTAAGAGAACTTTTCTTTGATAAGTGAAATTTTTCCCTCTATTCCCTACAACATGAATAAGTTTTTCAACTATGTTACCTTAAAATGGAGATCATAATAAAATTTAAATATGCTGACTCAGTATGCTAATTAAAACCCTGACTATCAAATAATGAACCTGAGCTTTAAACCTATTAATGCTAATGACCATTTTATCATCCTTTATCTCCTTCAATAGAATGAGCATGATAAACATTTCTGCATCTCAGTGACTAAGATGATTTTACCAATTAATGCTGCATACTGAGGGTGAATTCCAGGCATATGACTAGCGTTCATTCATTCCACCTCCAAACATCATCATCATGGCTAGGTTTCACAAATGAAGATTTGGGAAGGGCTCTATCCACGTTTGTTGCAAGTGCGTTGGTGGCTGAAAAGGCCAATACAAGATAGACATGTCCGGTTGCAAAAGGCACAGCAGAAAGACTCCTTAGGTGGTATATTCCGCAAGGTACGATTCTTTCTGCGCTGCCTTTTCTCCTCAAGGGTGATCCTGCGTGCGTTCTCAAAAGCATCAGCAGCGTTGTAGATGGTGTGTCTCCAGGTCTCCCGATTGGAGGTCAGAGTAGACCAGTTATGGTGATCAATATGGCCAAGGCTGAGATGTTGTTTCAGGGAGTCCTTGTATCTTCTCTTCGGGGCTCCTCTCTTGCGGCAGCCAGTAGCAAGTTCACCATAAAGCAAGATCTTAGGGAGGCGGTGGTCCTTCATCCTTGAAACGTGCCCTGCCCAGTGCAGCTGTGTTCTCAGCAACATGACCTCAATACTTGTGATTGCTGCTTGTTCAAAAACAGATGTATTGGTCACATAATCTGACCAGTGGATGTTTAGGATTGAACGGAGACAGCGTTGATGGAAGTGTTCTAGGAGCTGCAGGTGGTGGCGGTAGATGACCCATGATTCAGATCCGTATAAGAGTAGACAGCACTATGGCTCTGTAAACACTGATCTTTGTACTTTTCTTCAGATGTTTGTTTCACCAAACTCTTTTATGAAGCTTTCCGAAAGCACTTTGCCAACCTGTTGTCTATCTCTCTGTCAATCTTACCATCCGAGGAGATGAGGCTACCAAGGTAATTAAACTGCTGGACTGATTTGAGTTCTGATTGGCCAATGGTGATGTGGGGATGATGGGGGACTTCCTGAGGTGCAGGTTGATGGAGAACTTCGGTCTTCTTTAAGCTGACTTCCAGACCAAAGAGCTCAGCAGCATCTGCAAAGCAGGATGTTAAATGCTGCAGAGCTGTTTCTGTGTGGGCGACAAGGGTGGCATCATCAGCATAAAGCAGCTCCTGGACAAGATGGTTTAAGGTCTTAGTGTGGTCCTTCAGTCGCCTTAGGTTGAATAGGCTTCCATCAGTATGATATGGAATGTAGATACTGTCCTGATCCTTGAGGTCTGCTGTGGCCCTTTGGAGCATCATGCTCAAAAAGACTGTGAATAGGGTAGGAGCGAGAACGCAGCCTTGTTTCACACCACTCTTTATTAGAAAGGGCTCGGAAAGTGTGTTGCCATATCTGACTTGGCCGTGCTGATCCTTGTGGAGTGAGATGATCATTTTGAGGAACTTGGGGGGATAACCTAAAAGTTCCAAAATCTGCCACAGACCTCTTCTGCTCACAGTATCGAAAGCCTTAGTGAGGTCGACAAAGGTTGCATAAAGACCTTTGTTCTGTTCCCTACACTTCTCTTGCACTTGTACCTGCAAACATCGACATAATAAAAAAAAAACCAAACCAACCAAACAAACAAACAAAAACAAACAAACAACAAAAAAACCTGGGTAGAGAACAGTTTCCCTAAAGGCTAACATTAAAAAAAAAAAAAAAAAATCTGCAGCATGCACTCATCAGCCTCTATCCAATGTTTTCTGAAGGTGTAATTTTCTTTTTTGCTAATCAAAGGACAAAAATAAAGGCATGCTGCTACTTTTATCAGCTGCAAAAGTGGACAATGACAACAAAGGCTGATCTTCAGTGAAACAAGCTTCCTAGAGTTTAAGCAGAGAAACTCCTGATATTCTTGTTGGGAAATACAAAAGTCTTAGTCTGGTTCTCTTTGCAGTTTGTTTCTCTCCCTCGCTCTGATAAGCAGCTTGACTTCTGGACACAAATCTCTCCCATCTTCACTATGGTACAAAAATATTTGCCATAAGAAAAAGGATGATAAATTGGTCATTATCATTAACATTAATAGGTTTTCAAAATAAAGTTCATAAAGTGATATTCAGGTTTTTTTATTTATCAGTTTAAACTCTGAACAAGTTTTCATAAACTGAAGCAACATGAGGGACACGTTCTTTCTTTTGAGGAATTTTTTTCTGTTAGATTCCTTAATTTCATGTAAAAAGGCCATATTGCCAAAATCTTTTGTGAAAATTTTTTATAATGAAAACGTGTGTCCACTGTTGTTGCATCTACAGTGATCCTACAGCAGCAAACCAGTAACTACAAACAAGTCGAGCCATCAGAGCAGGATTTCTAGGCTCTGTTCTTGACAGAACTAAAATCATAATTTTATTTCACAAAGGACAGAGTTTTTTAATTTATGAGAACTGATGGCTGCTTGATGCAGATGACAGAATCATAGAATCACAGAATCACTAAGTTTGAAAAGGACCTTTAAGATCGTAAAATCCAATCATATAATAGCACAATCTGGAATTCAGCAAGAATTTACTTCTGAAAATAAATGTTCAAAGTACTATCACAGGGAAAAATTTGTTAAGACTATTAATCAGGTAAAGAAACAAATGGAAAAAGAATCTACTCTACAACTTTGAAAGTCTTATCTCAGTGGATAGCTAGAAAACAAAGGAGGTTTCAATTTAACAAGGGGTATGTTAGAGAAAGAGACTGTCGATATGTGCAGCAGACTGAGAAATGAGCATTTTATAATGTTAGAAGGCAAGATTTATAAAGAGTAGACTACTAATGTCAATGGATTACTAAACCCCTTGCACAAATCAAATATAATGACAAATAGTATATGACTAAATAAGGTTGCCTTTGCCTACTGATAAGTGCCTCTTTTATAAGGTGGAATTGTATTAGTGATGGTTTAATTCAACATTAATTTTATGGTGGTTTGACACAAAGGGCATCAGAACATTCTTGGCTCTCCTTGTCCTTCTGAGCAAAGGAATACAAAAGGAGAGAACCAGAAAAACTAGCATCCAAGCACACACAACCCTATGTAGAGAGACCCTGTGAGAGGCACAACTCCTCTTCCCTGTAAGGAGTAAGGAACATATCTGAAAGGGATGTGAAAGAGAAGCCTTTACATGCTCTTTCCTTCACATCGACCAGAGAGAGAGAGTTTATCTTCTCTCACAGCACAGCAATAGGTGTAATGTGCCCAGAAGTCTTCAACATGAATTTTAGCTGAGACTGCAGCATTTCAAGTTTGTTGCTGCTTTCCTCCACTGAGCTGCTGGCAGAACAACCCACAGTTGTATTGTGGGTTATTGTTGCACAGGAGTAAATACTACAAGTCTGGTAACCAGGCCAGGCTTGTATAGGGCTTTTCAAGTTCAGATTCCTAGCTGAACTGTCTAAACTTCCAAAGCCAGAAAAATCTGGGATGATGTCCCCCAGAGAATGGCTTGCCTACCAGGAAAAATGAAATAATTTTAAACAGAAATGGTTCTTAGCCAAAGATACGAATCTGCATTTTCCTAGGTTTGGGGATATCTTTGTCTTGTTCTTCGAGAGAAATTTCATGGTTCAAATATTTTGTTTGTTTTCCTTCAATACATTCTCTGTCTTTCTCAATTCCCTCAATTTTAGTATCCATGTTATCTTTCTTTTGCTATTCTATTAAACTACCTATTCTCCAGTTGAGATTAGAACATGTTTCTCTATCTAGTTCACTTGCTTCCTAGATACAAAAATCCACCCAAAAATCCACCTTTTCCCTTGTCCTTTCTTTGCTCCAAGCCCCCTCAACAGTTTTACTTCACTTAGCCCCTCTTATTCTCTCACCAAATGCCAGGCTTGTTGCCTCATCCTTCCCCTAATTTTTCATTCAGTAACTGAAGGAAAGGTAGAGAAAGTGCTGTTAGTGCGTTTGTAAAAAGATCTCTTTTCTGAAAGGGTGGCACAGAAAAATATTTGCTACTTGCATGGCTTCAGTGAAAAATAATAGTTGGTTTAAAGTATTGGGAGGAAAGGATTGGAGGCATAAATTGAAAAACACACAGTATTTTTGCACAGGTCATCAAAGGGACTGACATTACATTTTCATATACACCAATGACACTCATATCACATGATGTTGCCATGTGCACCCATTCTTCACAGCTCAGAAAACTATGGAATAAGTCTCATGATCAGGCACTGTAGCTATCTCTGCAGACACATCAGAGGTAACTTGGTGAATGTATGGAACCATTACCATACACGTAAAGGCTCCCCAGCTTTGAATGGTTAATCTGGGAAAAATAATGCTATTGTACTACATTTTTTCTCTTTAACATAGTTCCAAATGATGAGAGATCACTATGATCTTAGCCCTATAGGAAAGAGTAAGTTTTGCTTTTAAGATGCTGCTTCACATGCACCAAAAGGGACATACCTATTTGAGACTGAGCAACCATAGTAGATTTGCGATCACACAGGGGAGAGAAGGGCAACCCTAGTTCTGCTTCTTTGTCACCCTAGAGAAAAAAAATTGAGATGAAATTAGAAAAGGACAAGACACATTGCACTTCTATATCTTACTTCACAACCGTAAAAGCCTCTCATTTTACTTTCTTTAATTAAACTTTGATTTTATTTGCATTTTTTGTTTGTTTATTTTTAACACAAATTGTGGATAATTTGAGTCTTTCAGATAAGGAATTCATAGGCTATGGCTGGCCAGATGCAGATTATTGATTTTTTCCAAAGACGACACCAACAGTTTTCTACAAGAAAGTAACCTGCTTGGTTGTTGTGGGCCAAGCTGTGGGCATTCTCTACCTGGACTTTTCCAAGGCTTTTGATAGGGTTCCCCACTGCCTCCTCCTAAAGACACTGATGCATTACAGTATAGACAAGTGGTCCATGCAGTGGATGGGGAACTGGCTGATAGGCTGGGGCCTGTCAGAAGGTAGTGGTAAATAGCTCCGTTTCAAACTGGCAACCTGTCATAGGCGAGGTACCCCCTTACAACCATAGTCCCCTCTGGCTAGTAGTAGTTCTCAATCTCATGGTTTAAGGATGGTATTCTCTGATTTAGTATGCCCACTAAAAACCTCCAAAGCATGTGCCACATTTTTCACATCTTGTGCTGTCCTGACTGGCCCAAAGACTACTGTGTGAACAATCTCCTGTTTAATTTGCTCAAAAGCTCCACTCGAAATTGTTCTCCTTCTGGGTCACTTGATACAGAGGTCTCACAATCTGACAGTAATCTGGAATATGCATCTTCCCCACAGTACCTAGGAAAGTTTGTGTTTCCTTTCGGTTGGTTGGTGAGGACATAGCTGCTCTTTTGTTGACCACGTCTGGCAGTTTGAGCCACATTAGAAATCTAAAAATCCAATTTCCAGGCTTCCCCCCACCCCTTTGCAAAATTTATCCTAACACCGGAGAGAAACTTTTAGGTCAGAGGCTTCTATAGGGGAAGGGGAAAATATATACATTTATTTACACAAATAAATATACTGTACAAACTAAAAGCAGCTATATATATATATATTACATTTCTGTCAGTCTTTTTAAGCCCCTCCCTTTAACTTTGGTCCAGGAAGAGCCTTTTCAGGCTGCTGGGTAACGCAGTTTCTCTCGTGGGAGTGTTCTGGGCTCGAACGCTTCTCCCTCACCAAGCTCCGGCTGTTTGTTGCAGTCTTTCTCCTCACGAAGTCCAGGAAGATAGCTTTGAGTCCTTTCTCTTCGGTCTGCTATGTGATCTCTCCCTCTCGATCTCATACCTCGGTTCGTAGGCTGCTGCAGTGTAGTTCAGCTTACCCAGCGTCCTCCGAGTCAGTTTTTGGCTGCCCCCGGTCAGCTTCAGCAGGCAACTCCCGAGCTCTTGGCCTGTCTCCAATTTCATCTGGGATTCTTCTCCCGAACACTGGGTCTACCTCCTCCAGCCCGTCTCTTGGCTCAGCTTCAATGCTGAGCCTCTCCTCCACTTACAGTGGAGGGAAAGAAAAAAGCCCCCCTCCACAGCTTTAACTGCAGAAAAAGAGGGGGAAGAGAGGGCTTGGCTGCAAAGCCTGCCTCTCTTCTTTTACCTCAGGTGCTGCAAATTCCTTCCTTCACAGCACACACTCTAAATGGTGCCTCTTAACTCTGGCCTAGACAGAGCTGGGGGCTGCAGGGCTCCCCCTCCCCCCTGAAGGGGGGGGAAGGAGCCCAGCCACCCCCTGGCCTTCTACACCTACACACAGCAGATACCAACAGCAGAACTGCCAACAGCTTCTGGTGCTGTGCTTGCTCAACAGCAGAGACTCCGGTCCATACTGGTGGTGCATGGGACATTTCCTCTCCAGTTTGCTCGAACTTTCTGAATCTGCCCTCAGTCTTGGACACTCTTTCCACAGCCAAAGCACAGATCAGTAAGGAGGAAAAACAATGATCTTCATATTGTCTGAGTTAGGTAGTCACCTGAAGCACTGTTTGTTCTACTTTCATTGACATAAATGCCAACAATACACAGCAATGGCATGCTCTTTGCAAACTTCTGCCACAGGGATTCTGTACACTGGATGTCGTCTGTATCTATAGGGAACTGCTCATCATTTGAATCCCTACAAATTACCTCCAGCACATCTTTCAGGTATTGGATACCTTGCTTCATGGCATTCCACCTGCTTGGGGGCACTACTAGATCATCCTTGAGAGAATACCTTTCCCTTACACTTGACAGGAGTTGCCTCCAGAGGCTGAGATTTTCTGTCCTCTTCCCAGTCCCCTTGCCAATGCCCCCATCCCAGGACAGGGATCCCAGCTGCTTGGCTTCACTACCATCTAGTTTCATATTTTGGGCTGTAATATCCCAGCATCAAAGCAGCCAGGTCACCAGGGGCTCACCCAACTGGCGGCTCAAATCTTTTTGCATATCTTGCAGCTCACCCAGGGATAGGGATGTAGTGATTATCTCTGGTCCCGCCTCTTCCTTCTGTTCTGAGAGCCCTGCTTCCTCTTCATCCCTCACTGTGTGAACTGATTTTGCCTTGGATTTCTTCTTCTGCTACTGGCACAAGTTGTTTCTCTGGTTCAGCTGCAGTTTGAGTGACCACAGTGCCTGTTGGTCTGCTTTTCTCCTCTTCCCCCTGCGGGTGCTGTCTAGTAATGAGCAGTGTTCGACAAAAAGTAGCCAGGGCCCAGCACTTGCATAAGTTCACACCTCTCTGGAGCTGCCACATCAGTACTCTTTCAAATAATCTGCCACTTAATCAGGGTCCTGCAGTTGTTCAGCAGTGAACTTCCAAACCATTGGAGCAGAACAGTCCCTCAAAAGCTGGTCCATTTTCTCCCACATTCTATGCCACTCATGATTATTCACCCTGGGCAGATCTCTCAATAACTTCATGCTGTGGTGGACTGCACTGAGGAAACCTGGCAGACTTAGTAATAAGAATATGCTTTCCTCAACATCCAAAGGGAATTCAAAATTCTCAAAAGCTGTTGTAACAGGTCTGAAGGAGGAATATGGGGTGAAAAGCTGGGAAAAATCATCCTCCCCTGTTCCCCCCACAGATGAGGTATGATTATTAATGGACTCCCAAAGGTATCGCCTGGGGTAAGGGCAGGAGAGCAACACTGAATACACATCCCTAAGGACCCTCACTGTCCTTGATATTATCCTATTATAAGCTGATATCACACAGTACAGCAACAACCAGTGAACAGACCAAGCAACATTGAGACCAGTGGCTCCACACCTAATACAACAAATGCTTTGATTGAATTTCTTCCAACCCATTGTGGTCAGATCTGTTTTTATCTCAAAACTTCGAGCCTCACATTGGGTGCCAAACTAGGCTGTTGTGCTTTAGGAATTGTATTCTCCAATTTAGTGTTCCCACCAAAAACCTCCAAATCATGTGCCACTCCCTCTCTCCTCCCGTTCCTTCCTGCAGCAGGCTGGAGAGGAGAACTGGAGGCACAGAAGGTCAAGACTGTAGGTTGAGATAAAAACAGCAGCAAGATAAGAAAATGAACAGTAACAGCAATAATATTAATAACAAAAGTGTAAAAGAGACAGGCGAATGATTCACATGCAAATGCTCACTGCAGAGCCCAACCCAACCCTCACCACGCTATCCTGACCTGGAAGAAAGCCCTTATAGCCCTTACCCCCATCCCTGGAAAATGACATGAGATGGTATAGAATAACCTCGGTGTCCTAGCCATGTCCCCTCCTGGCTACTGCAAAAATTACCCATTACAACTTGAGAGAAGCATTCTTCTGCTGTGAGGTAGGGATGTACCTATTGATCTAGTACTAAATAACTTCAATGAACACAAGTTCATGCTTCGTGACAAGCTTAATGCATCTGAATTTGGAACTAGAATACAAGTTTTATACATAGCTTCATCTAAGTGTGGAGGCATTCATCATTCAAAGCTAAAGTAAGATTTGTTAGTTGAAATGAAATTATTCTTATAAAAATATAAAATAATAATTTTGCCTTTTTAATATGTGTAAAACAGATCAAAACTTGGACTTTTTGTGGTCTCGCACCTAGCTAATCTTAATTCCATCACACGTCTTTAGGGGACTCAGCAGTTGTGTATTTTAACACATTTAGTACAATTTTGAGCTAGAAAAGTATAAATATGCACATTTTTTCCCCTTAAATGCATGTTAAAACCATCCTACTTGCATGAGTCTCCAGTGTGGCAACACAGAGATAGATGCAGGATGATCTACCTCTGAAGTCATTCATGGTTTGAAAAACAAATAAAGAGATTCATTTCAAAGCAAATTCTTGCAATGCCCTCTTTAAAAATGGATTCCTGCAGTGTCTTTAAAAACAAACGTAATGTTAAAAAATTGTCAGAACTTTTTAAAAATTGTCATATATTTTTCCCTTTTGCATTCAGATTTACTATATAACATGAAGTTATAGAACTCTGGAGGGAAAATAAGCACTCAATTTTCTGCTTAGGTTACTAATTCATATTAGTGAAAAGTATCCTAAGCACTCCTTAAGAGCTCTCTTTTTACTTCTTTTTTTTTTTAAGGCAGGTCTTTAAATGTTTTTATTAATCACTTGAGGACCTTTTAACAATCACACAGAGCTCAATGATTTGTTTAGATTTGTGGGTCTGTCAACAGATGGTCCACTATGAGCTATAATCTTGATCAGTTCACTTCACTTAAAGTAAGGGAAAAATAAGCCTTTTTCATATCCACCCCAACAATGAAAGTACAGTTCTTTAAGTACAGTTAGCCAAATCTGTTTTTATGGTTCTATAACTGAGTGACACATATTCTATATTTTCCTAATCTAAAAGATATATTAGCTTCCCAAATCAGAATTTCTTCTAGGTAGAAAATGTTTACATCTATAGACAGTGTATCAGAAAATTAACTTTCTAAAAGGCATAATGGCCAGTGTTACTGGTGCCAGAGGAGAAAGCTTCATACTATTTAGGAGGTTCTTACATATATCAGAGAAAAGGAAAATATCTGTGTTCATATTTTCCTACTTCTTTGCCCAATCCTACATACTCCCTCTCAGCTGCAGAAATATGAAGGAATGGCCCTGGCTTTACCTGTCTGAAGAACTCCTCTAGCAAAGACATTGTCCAGCGATGGTGAAGATCCCAAGCCTTGGCTGGATGACTGATATCTGCTGTATGTAACAACAGTGATAAGGCTTTCGGCTTGTCAATTCTGAAAACCCAAAAGATGAAACAAATTAATTGTCTACTCCTGCAGGGGCCAATGACAAAAATATTACCTTCAGGGAAATAAGGTAATTAGAATCCTTGGCCAGCATATTAATAAAGTGATTTCTCTGCTCATAAAGTCAGACAACTCTGAACGACTGTCTTATTTCTCCAACATACACCATTCCTGTTTTAAAAGAGACATTAAAAAATACAAAAAGAAACGTTGCTCAGCCTTGTTGAACAACTTTCCAAGCTTGCTTGTCTGCACTAACAGGCTTGAAGAACTGCTGTGTTTCCCATTTCATCTGGGCTGCATTTTACGCATCTCGGAAGAGAAGCTAGTCCCTACCATCATACTGCAATGAACAATCAGGATCTCATCTCAGGGGCTCTGATGAGTCTACACAGTAACTGATAAATGTTTCACTGATAGAAAACTAGTGTGAGATCAGAAACGAACCCTGGCATCTGTTTTCACAGAAAAAAGGCTGGTGATTTCTTACAACCATAACCTAAGAGGCTAGCCCAAAAGCTTTCTCAGGATGGGTGATCTCATTTTTTAATTCCACTTTTTGGCTATCTGAAATAGTTGAAAGAGTTGTAGCTTCTGAGAAGACCAAGTGGTTAGTCGCACTCTGGTCTGCTACAGGTATAAAATTCTTATACAGGTATAATTCTGGGACGCTTTGGACAGACCTTTGTCCAGGGTGAAAAATTGACCGTCACTCAGCACTTTCTGCTGTACAGAAAGAATTTTAAGGGGAAGAGCTGTAAACAAAATATCACAGCTCCCAGTGACATACTGGGAAGAAGAAAAGGCCTTTCCCATACTGCTCCATCTATTATTTTCCAGTTGTTCCCTCAGTGGATCTCAAGTTGTTTTCATCCGTCCTCTGGTTATGAAGCAGGCCCCTTGCAGAGTTGGCAGCTGATAGCATCGGCAGAAGGGCAAAAGCGTAAGTTATGTTCTGCAGATCTTATAACCTTGTGTCATACTTAATCTGTAGAGATGACTCAACTGAATCATGTCCTTGGTGTTACCCACCAGGAAAATGCGCAGTGAGGCTTTTCCCAACAATGGTGAACATTTCCAAGCTTTGGTCCACCAGCACAGAGTAGAGATGTGTGCCAATGCCTTCCTAAGTGAATTCATTATAAATTCAACAGCAGAAAGAAAATTGATGGGGACATCAGAGAAAGTGAGAGCCTCTGGAGAACTGCTTCTGAAGTTAAACACAATGGCAAAGCTCCCACTGAAAATGCAGACCCACACTGCACTGTGTTTTAAAGTGACTCACCCTTCTGGCTGCTGCAAAGCATTCTTCATAGCTTTGATTTGCTGGAAGTGACAGGACATATCAGTGGCCAACACCATCTCAATCACTAGAGCTCTGAATTCTCTTTTGAATGGCATCACAATGAGAGCAGCAAGGAAAGAGAAGCACAAAACCCAGCATCAGACAAACTCCAGTTTCTTTCGTTGTCTATTTGCAAATTTTTGACAGCAATGTCTTTGTATGTAACTCTTTCTATTATCCCTCTTTCAGGGATGGGAAAGAGGATGAAGGATTTTCTATACAAACATAGAAGTGGGAGGGTTGCAAATTAAGCCAGGTGGTTGATCCTTGGTAGAGAAATCCTAGATGTTTTTTGAAGAGTATATTGGTATTAGTACTGCTTTCTCAATTAAGCACAAACTTCTTAAATTGATTTCTTTTATAGGGCATTCTTAGATGGAAGCCTCAGAATCAGGTGAACTTGACTAAAACTAGTAGATACCTATGCTGAAAGTTTAATCACACTATTAAAGAAAAACTACTATGATGCATATATGAACTAAAGACCTTTGAGAACCTGCACTACTTTCCTGATATTATAAATTCAAACTATTCCTGTATTAAGTTTTGTTAAGAAAACTTGCTGTCCTAGTTTTGGCTGGAATAGGGTCAATTTTCTTCTTAGTAGCTGGTACAGTGCTTTGTTTTGATTTAATATGTGAATAATGTTGGTAACACACTGATGGTTTCATTTTTGCTAAATAGTGCTTATTCCAAATCATGGACTTCTGAGTTTCCCATGCTCTGACAGTGAGCAGGTGCACAAGAAGCTGGGAGGGAGCACAGCCAGGACAGTTGAACCAAACACGCCAAACGGATACTCCTTACCATAGAATGACATGCCCAGTATACAAACTGGAGTCACTGACCACTGCTTGGTGACAGGCTTGGCATCAGTCAGCAGATGGTGAGCAATGTTATTGTGCATCACTCGTTTCTCCTGGGTTATTTCTCTCTCATTTTATTACTATTATTATTAGCAGCAGCAGCATTAGTATTATTATCAATTAACCACAACACTTGTTTAGACTCCAGATGAAATTCTTTTGAAGATGATATGGATGTCCTAAACATTTTTAAATATCAGAACCTTCTGATCTAGACACAATACAAATTTATTTTCTCTTTCTCTCAGTTCAGCTCTCCACAGGTTTAAAGAGGAAGAACAGTCCAAGGTTGGCATATCAGATCAGGTTTTGTAAGATTCAGAAATGAGTCACCATTCATTTAAAATAAAAGCTACCATTCTCCTTTTCATAAATATTTCATGAAGGATGTAGTCTACTTTGATCACATCTCTTTTGCCTCTAGTGGCTGTGCTCAAGTTCTAGCCCCAGGTCACCAATGTGTAGAGACCCAAGACTTCTGTGCTTACCCCATCTCATGGATAGCACATAATGCAGCCTCCTCATCTCCAGGAGTTCTGCACACTGATGGCATCAGCTGGCCTCACTCTTCCCCCAGTATAACCACCTCCTCTTCCCAACCTCTAAGTACAATCAGTTGCATAGTCAACACTGTTGTTGACTATAAAAATATGACTTACAGTTATATAAGATATAGATATCTTTTATGTCTTATAGTTACATATACTTACATTAAACATGTATGTTGACTAACAATATGGTGGCTGAAAAGCAACTAATTTTAAATTATTTTTAATTTTTTTTTTTTTCCAGTCCTGGTCAGTTCCTAGCAGCACAGACCTCACTGTCAATACAAACAAGGAGAACCCAAATGCATAGAAACACATTTTTACAAGAAAAGGGCGTGATTATTCTGTGGGAACAATTAGCACTGGGAGACAGCAGACTTTTCACTACATCCTCTGGACTGCAACTGCATCATATTGGTCTGCATGGGCTACTTTGTGCATAGCTTATTGCAGAAGGAATACAAAAGCAAAGGACTCAGTCCAGGAAAATGAGGTACTGACTGCAGTTCAAGCATGTACATATGCTTACAAGCACATTCTAGTTCCCCTTTCATAGATGCAAATCTGGAATATGCACATTCTCTGAACTCTGCACATACTTCAGAACATTATTTCCTCTGAAACAGAGATGACAAATACTTCAGAGATAGTAAGGATTTTACTACTGAAGAGTTCTTATTTGTTACTTCAAATAACAGGCATCATAACAGCAGGTGACTTCGAAAAGTGTGGATATAGGGAATGCATGAGAGAAAATCTCAAAAGACATAACACTAGAGGATGATAAACTTGTTCATTTTTTGCTAAGTTGAGATAATGCTGAAATTCATTACCGAGAGAATCACAGATATATGTTTATCCATTTCTTGGTTTCACATCTGAGTCAGATTAGAGCCTGGTACACACAGCTGTTACTTTTTGCTCTGACCATTTCTAGCACTTTGTTTCTGCAATTGTCTTCAAAGTCCACACAACACATTATGGTGCTGCAGTCTGCATGCTGTCTAGCAGCCCTGGCTAAATAGATCCCAGATATTGTTTACAAGTGGTGTTTCCACTGAAGCATCTCTGGACTATATTTAATGATTCTAATAATGCACAAAAGCCTGTTAATGTTGTACATGACATTCCTTCAGAGGAATCAGTCTTTCATCTGGACTAACACCTTTCTATTAGAGAAGCACAGTATATAAAAGCAGAGGAAAAGTAAGTCAACTGAAACAGTTTCCACTTCTTTTATTTTTAGAAAATATATTTGACAGTCTCAAAGTAGAATGAGGTAAGAGAAGAGACTGCACCACTTTCAAATGTCTATACATTGCCGTGAAATTGTGCAAAACTATAGTGCTGGATACTTGGGCTTCATAAATATCAACATATTGTGAAAGGGCACACAGATTCAGCTCTCACTTCATTTCACTTACCAGTGAGATTATAAAGTCGGAGATTCCCCTGGTATTTCTCCAATATCTTGTTCTCTTTCATTCCCTAGTTTTCAAACCCAGTTTTGTAGTCAGGAAGAAGTTTATGAAGATCAAAGTTTAATTCACTCAAATACTAACTGTCCCAAGTAATTTCTTAAATAACTTGACTCCAGAAAAGTTGTTCAAGTCTTTAAAAAATAGGTAACTTAAAACTGTACCCAAGAAAAGAAGAAATCCTGCAAGCTGATGAGAAAGGAAGGAGCATTATACCCCTATAATCTACCCACTGTCCTTCTTCCATTATTTGAGGAGGAAAAAGGGATCCATTTCCTCACCATTAATTCAATGTACATATTGCACCTGTCCTTACTGACTACACCCTGCAGCACATTTTCATTAACTAACGGTCCTAAAAACAACAGTGACCAGTTTAGGATCTCATGGGAGGTTTTGAGTAGGCAGTTGTATTAGCTGCAAAATCTGACCTAAATCCTTTTTATTTCAGGCACAATCAGGAGCAACTGACACAACTTCCATCAGAATCGGGCAGGCTGAATCAGCTCTTGAGACAGATAAGGCCTGACTCCTTCCAAATCTGCCTCTGATAAACAGCAGTGTTTACTGCTCTAATTTAAGTGTGACTGCAATTCACAGGTGCAGTCTACATGCAACACAGGAGACTCAGGACATTTACAGGAGGCACTGGAGCATGTGACTCCTCAAGGAAGAGCATCCAGGTCTGGCTTCAGAATTGCAAGGCAACAGCTGCGTGGCAATCAAGAAACTGCAGAAAGGCAGATCATATGCACAAAAGGTTGCTCCCAAGTGTGAGCAAACTAAACAGTTGTTGAAACTGGCCTAAAAGACACAGCAAGAGCTGCACTATGCCCTGTTAGCTTGCACCTCTCTGTCCTATACTCTATCACACAGTACAAACTGGTGGCAGCATTTCTTCAGGTTTCTTATCTAGCTGAGATAATTCAAAGTATAATTCATTACACTTTCTATCTGAGAAAACAAGAGCCATGATCTGGAGATGCTGATCTCTGCCAACTCTTTAGAGCAAACCAGCTCAGCTGGTTTATATAGAAACCTACAGACAGCTGAAGTGTGATAACAATGACAGGAATTGATAAAAGGCTTAAACAAAAATACTTAGTGCACCATACAACATCTTCTGAACTGAACTATTTTGATAATTTTGTCCGGTTGAAGCCTCAGCACTTTATTATTACAGAAATTAATAGGAAAACACTGCATTAAAGGAAATATCATCATTGGCTGGTTCTCACTAAAGGTATAACACTCAGAATATTCACATGTCCATCCTGAATGCAAAGGAACAAAAATTTACAAGGAAAGGGCATGATTATGCAACCGTGCACACACTTATACTTACAAAAGAAGAGTATGACCAAAGTTGTCTTCAGTCAAAAAAAATTCATGGTTTCTCACCACAATCTTGAAATTAATAACAGTGATTAACAAAGAGGGCTCAGAATTATTTGAGGGACAAAATGCCAAGCAGCTTTACTGGCAAAGTTAGTATCGAATTAAAGGTTACTTCCCAAAGTTGTCCTCCCATACAAAGCTAAGCAACCAGAGATTTTCCAGACACCTTTTTATTCCTGTACTTGCAGTAAAGAGCTCTGTTTTAATAAACTGCATCAAAGTTATTAACAATTAAATACAGTGTCAGAAAAGATATCTATAGCGGTATCTTGGAAGGCATTTGTTCACTTTGCAGTTTATTTTCTTAGCTCACTGTGATCTGATTTTGTTAGAGTTTCTTCATTAACTTGTTGATAACTTGCACAAATGGGATTCATGAAATGAGGCAACTCAAGTGATTTTCAAATACTTAATAAGCACCAGAGGTTTTTTTAAAATGGAGGGGAAAAAAAAGTAGTTTAAGTACCAGTAAGACTTCAACTCTTTTTCTTGATGGCAACACAAAAGTTTTCTTCCATTCTCATCCGCTTTCCTTACAGAACCTGTGGCCATTTATTTTTCCAACAGTGAAATGTATCTCCAATTTTCTGCGTATCTTTCCTAAAAATACACTCCCTAACTAGATGACTGAATTCCATAAAGGTTATAAAATCCACATAGACATCTGGGATTGCAAAATCCACTGATCATCAGATTTTCTCTTACTAGTAATGTGAAAAAAGGTGTCAGAGTTCAGCTCAGAAAGGCACTTAAGAATTTACTTTCCAAAAAACATTACTAGGGCCTTTTGCTGAGAGAGATTTATCAGGTCTGTCTGTAAAAGTGAAGTTTAATTTGGACATATTTTATTAGTTTTCCAAAGCATTCTTCAGTACTGAGTGTCCTACTTTTGAGTGCCAAAATGGAAAACTCTAGGCTTTTTTGGGTTTTTTTCCCAACACCTCAGATTCTGCTGAGTCAGTTGATGTTTACAAGTGCTTCCCAAATGTTTGCCTATGGGAATTGTATGGAATACTGGCAGTCAAAAGTAAAAGCATGCAAAAATCACAATGTTTTTTAATTAGAGCCCTTCCAGACAATGGTTTTTATTCTGCAGCTTGATCAGCAGCTATAAAATAAAAAAGCCCTACTTGAGAGAGAACAAATAAGCAATCCAAATCACTCAATATTTTTGCTCAGTCACTTACAGTATTTCTTAAAGAGATAGGTTAATACTTGAAACTTTGGGTCTAAGCACATTGCATCAACAGGACACACATGTTGGCACTATAGAATCAATGAGAAATATCTGAAGCTGGCTTTGATTCAATCAATAACAGTTTAAAGCCTGAAAACAGACCATTTCCCTAAAGGTAGTATCTATGCAATGAAGCATACTCAATTAGCTGTTCCACTGTAAACAGTGGCTATTCCCTGCAGACAGTGGCTCTAAGGCTGATGTTTCTAGTTAGTTAGTTTCCTTATGTTTCCCCACCAACATAAAAGGTTGCTGATATTTGACTAGGCATTGCCAGCTGTAGCTAAAAGAGATTTTTAACATCTTGGTGCAGATATTTTTTTTTTCTGTTCCTCTTTACTGCCACTATGAGACTATTCTCCATATTGGGGGATAGAATTTTCAGGCCACTACTTCACAACACTCACAATTGACTGAAATTAGCCATCTAAGTTCCTGAGTTATTCTTGGTGTTTAGCTATAGGATCACATCACTGTCCACAAGTTAAAATAAACAGGAAATTCAGGCTAAACAGATTAGCAAGCAGAGCCTTCACTGACCATTTTACTAGAAGCCAGGCCCCAAAGAAGGGCTCATTTCCCCACATTTATACTAATATAAGATTAAATGATTACTCAACACTGTGTCACATTTAAGCATATACAGAAGGCACTGTGTGTTACATAGGGTCCCCCTCCTTGAAAAAGACTACCAAGCAGGATTCCTTCTGTCTAGCACAATGGGCTATTTTTCAAGTACCACACCTTGAAGTTCAAAAGATCCCATAAAAACAAAAAACTGTTATCAGTTTGAATTGTCTGGTATTAGAAAGGAAATCATGGGCTGATTTTGGCACATAAATCATATATTTCTTGAGGTTTATTTTAAATTACAGCTTCTTACATCACCTTGACACTGATGCCTTAAGCCCCCAATGGTTTTTTTTGTTTTTTTTTTTTATTTTTCTAATAGTTGTAAGACTTGTAAATTTTATAGGTAGGTTTTAAAAGCAGAAACCCCTCTGTCCCTTGTTCCTTTCCCTTGTTTATACATTCCCTAACCCTCTTACCCCATTCTATGCCTTCTATATCAACCTACCCCTGAATCCAGTAGCAGTGTTTAGTCTTTTGTCAAGGTAAAGGCCTAGACTGTTTGGAGAACAGTGTATCAGGGCCTAAACCACAGAGTACGGTCAAACTAGGTAACAATATACCCTTTGTACTCTGATGAAGCTGAAGATGATGAAGTAGGTGGTCCCAAAAAGACCCCAGACCCAATTCTCAGGGGGAGGGTCCGGGGCGGTCCAGAGGAAGGGCCAAAGGGTGGACACATCTGGGATTGGATGGATAATGCTATAAAATGTAACCTCTCGGGCACGGCCTTGCGCGCGTCTATATCACCTATTGCCTTGGCAAATAAACCCTTTCTTATCTCACCCCTAATTAACTGCTCCGGAGATTTTTTCAGAACCAAAATACACAGGCAACAACACATACAGTAGACTGATCTATACTCCAAGGACTGGATTATTTCATTCTTTAAGTCCCATTTATAATTTCCAGGCAGGAAGTGTCAAAGTAGATAAAGGTTATGTTTAGGCTTTAGGATGAACAAACAGTAGGCTAGCTCTACACTCAAAAATGGATGTGTACAAAGAGTGTCTCTGTGATACTTAGAAATTAGATCTGACTCAATTTCTGTATTATAATGCATCATCAAAAAGTCTAGCTTCAGTATCAGAGGTGAAAACTGAAAGCAGAAATAAGCAAGACAAACACCTTTTAAAGTTCTTTACCTTGTAGCATAGAAATATTAACATGTAATATACAATAATGCATATCGCTATTCAAACAAGGTAATAGCAGTCTATGGTGATGCTGCAGTATTCCTAGGCAGCCACCATGTTAATTTTTACCTCCAATCATCCTTTGAGAGATTAGATAAAATATTCATCTCTTCATCATCTTGCAAAAGACGATACGCCGCACTAACATGGTGATTTTCAAGCACAGACCGGTCATTATATAGAATGGCTGAGTCTGACCTAGCATTTAAAAGAAAACATAGGAAATGTTGTTTCTTTCCTGTCTACAGTCTCACATTCAGAAGTTTTCCTTTGATCAGCTGCAACAATTAAGTTTACAGAACAGATACACACATTTTAAGAACATTTGTAATACTTTGTTAATTGCTGTTATTCAGTAAAAGAAATGTAAAGATCAAAACTCGCTGCAAAATCTATTTCACCAGCTGACATTCAACAGTTGCTTTGTTACATACTTGAAATCAAGTGCTGAAAGCTGTGAGAGATACGTAAATTGGAATTTGAACCATGAGGCTTTTTTCCAGTTCTTCTATATGTTGCTCTGATATTAAAGCCTGACTGTACTCAAGCAAGCAATTGCAAGATGTGACCCAATATTGTGTCCAGAACAGAAAACTGGCTGAAGGCAAGACATAACTGAATTGCATTCTGACATCCGTGTGCTAGACTATGTTGTCTGGAAAGGCAATTGCCAGTGGGACAGAGTGAGACCAAAGGTACTTCATGCCTTACTTTAAGCCCCAGGGCAGAGATCTGTGATAGATGAATAGTTAAACTGGCCTGAAGACAAGTTAATGGCAACAGAGGATGAGTATGATTTGTTACAGTCCCCACTCAGACCTGGTTCTCAGAGAACAGTGTATATTTTTCTCCTCTGACACCTTACACCCTCTGATGTTCACTGTTACAGAAATTAAATTACAACTGTCCTTCCTTTAATCCCTTTATAAGTATTGGGAAATACAGCAGATCTCTAATTCTTGCATGGATGAAGCTGTAACCAGTGGAGTGCAGTCTGGCCTAGAATAGAGACAGAAACTTTTTTCTACATTCCTAAACTTTCCTGCACATATGTGTGCTTATCTTAGCAACCACTGTTGATGCACAGCGTGATTCAGCTAATACACTAAAGACATATAATTTAGGGTAAGATAAAACGCACCTTAGAAGTGCCCAAGTGTACAGGGTCATTTGAGGACATCTAGACTTTTTGTCATTGCTACCAGTACACTCCTATTGTCAAAATAATACACAGATATTAGATGTCCAGTTATCACTGCAACTAGAGATTTCATAATCTTTGCACACTTCTGACTTTTGCTGCCAACTTTATCTTCTTTCTTCCACCAACCCAAAAGCCTTATAAAATACACCGGTCCACTCTAGTTTGTGATCAATTAATTACTGTCTAGCAATTTACAAAGCTTTTAAAAAATATTTCCCTGATCAGGTAATGGTCAACATAAGCCATTGCTGCAGGTGTGGTTTTCCACTCAAGTGAAAATAGTTTGTGTAGTGTTCACTGACAAATACAACAAATGTTGTTGAATGCCTGATTTATGCAGTTAATGTTTGATTCTTCAAATTCAACAAGGAGAAAAAAATTGTCAAATTACAGTATCTCCTTCAAAACTATAATACATTAAAATACATTACTCTGTACAGCAATTTGTCTTTGGCACCCTTACACAAAAATATTTTGGGACTTTTCTTTTTCCTGATCATTTATGTGAAACAATACTCAGAAAGCTAAAATACATGCATTCCATTGTAAATGGCTGAGCAAGAGAAAATTGAATGCAACCTAAGGAAGTGAACTTTCCTCCTGTATCACTTGAAAACAGAAGTTCCGGCACTTTTCTAGGTGTGCTGTTATTCACCACAGGTTTCCTCCTCCATGTCTCAACCCTTCATCATGATTTACAGTGGCCTCACCGTGTCTGGATGTGAAAGTTGTTAGTGGTTCCAGTGTGTTCATAGTCATGTATGGCAGCTGCAAAGATCATAGCGAAGATCTCCAGCTCTGTCAGCCAGTGCTGAAAAGAGATTACAGAGGAATCAGGTAAGTTGTCATTTTCTCAGGCATTAAGGTTTTTGGTTTTTAAGGCAAGTTATCTCCTGTACACAGTCAATGTTGCACATCATTGCCTTTCCCCTGCAGCCTGTCAGTTGTTTTAAAGCAAACTTCTCCGACTAATACACAAAAGCCAAACCAGCGTGTTTCATGGATCTCCACCTAAATAAACCGAACTTCAGCAAAATGGTTTCAGGAGCTAATAAAGTTTAAGGCAGAGCAAGGGGAAACAAAGGCCCTTCTGAACAAGCAATGTCTGCAGAACACAGACAAGGAAACCTCAAGAAAATCAAGGTTCTTCAAAGGGAACTTGATGATACATGTGCAGGTAAACACATACCACCAGGGTATGTATTTTCAGTTCAGCTGACCTGTGTAGCAGAGCCTCAGATACAGAACGCCACTAAATTGCAGTAACTAAATGTCTGTGCCAAACACCGAATCATGAGGAGAACAAGGAAGATAACATCAAAAGATGTACGTCTTGTTATTTATTTATCATTTTTAGAAACTTTTGAGAAAGCCCTAAAGTTTGTAGTTTTTTTTCTAATTTCCTAGTCAAAGCATTATTCTTCAATGCTTAAGTCACTTTTCCCTTAGATTTATAAATAACAGCCAGGTTCAATAATTTTTCTCTTGATCAATCAATCATTTTACTGTCTGGTTGTCTAGACACACAAGGAGTAACACATAGGGAGTGTTGTTAACATCAAGCACCCCAGAGGCAAAGGTTTTAGATACTGTAAATACAGTAAATATTTGTATGAAATGCTTAGATTGCATTTAGGGAAATTTTTTACCACAGTGATTGCCAAATAGATCTGTAACTACCCACTGTCAATCTGAAAGTGTTTTGACTGACATTCATGTATGAGCTGCCTTTTAATTCAATGTACATATTGCACCTGTCCTTACTGACTACACCCTGCAGCACATTTTCATTAACTAACGGTCCTAAAAACAACAGTGACCAGTTTAGGATCTCATGGGAGGTTTTGAGTAGGCAGTTGTATTAGCTGCAAAATCTGACCTAAATCCTTTTTATTTCAGGCACAATCAGGAGCAACTGACACAACTTCCATCAGAATCGGGCAGGCTGAATCAGCTCTTGAGACAGATAAGGCCTGACTCCTTCCAAATCTGCCTCTGATAAACAGCAGTGTTTACTGCTCTAATTTAAGTGTGACTGCAATTCACAGGTGCAGTCTACATGCAACACAGGAGACTCAGGACATTTACAGGAGGCACTGGAGCATGTGACTCCTCAAGGAAGAGCATCCAGGTCTGGCTTCAGAATTGCAAGGCAACAGCTGCGTGGCAATCAAGAAACTGCAGAAAGGCAGATCATATGCACAAAAGGTTGCTCCCAAGTGTGAGCAAACTAAACAGTTGTTGAAACTGGCCTAAAAGACACAGCAAGAGCTGCACTATGCCCTGTTAGCTTGCACCTCTCTGTCCTATACTCTATCACACAGTACAAACTGGTGGCAGCATTTCTTCAGGTGTCTTATAGAACTCTACAGATAAAGGCATCATCAACATACAGTGGGAGACATAAACACCTCCACAAGTGATGGTGACAGAAAATTTTTACAGTAATTTTGTATAGCCCATCTAAGGTAGTCATGGCATGAGAGTGTTGGAATTTGGTTAGGCTGAGTCACACGGAACCATGATTTTCCCTCATCCTTATGCCCCCTGGTAGTCTAGTGGTTAGGATGCGGCGCTCTCACCGCTGCGGCCAGGGTTCGATTCCCGGTCAGGGGACTTCCCCGGGCAGATGGAGCTCGTCAGCCCTGTAAGGCCATCCATCTAAGAGAAGGTCACTCTAAACAAACCTACGTCCTGAGGACCTCGCTGCCACTGTCCAAGCTTGCTCGGCCCCGGCAGATGAACCTTAGGATTAAAGGGTGGGCTCAGTTCAGTGCACACTGTGTCTCACCTAAAAAATCCACTGCACAGTCTCAAAGGGTAATGATCTTTCCCAAATCTTCGTTCACGAAGACTGGCCATGATTTTCAACAGTTCCCAGTTAGACTTTGTAACAACTGGGGAGTGTTCAAGAAGCCCTGGGCTTCAGTAAGAGCCTCAACATCTACTGACCTGGGTTCACCTGTCTGCTCTGAACTACAAAGGTTCCTTGCCTCTGGAACTGTACATGAGTTAGTGGAAGGACCACAGTGAAAGGAAGCACAACAGAACAGAATTACATGTATTCAAGTACCAGCCACAAACACAGTAGCCACTGAATGCCATGTTGTAATAAGAGATAACTGTAAAACATTGAACACCAAACTTCCTTTTCACTGCCACCTTTGCCTTTACGCTTCTGAGAATGCAAGGGCAAGGGAAAATTGGATACTTGGAAAAAGTGAAGCAAATAATATGAGGAACAGATCTGCCCCACAGGATCAGACTGGAAGTAATTTCATTCCTCTTTCTGGCTGCAGCAGTAACCAGGAGAAAGAAGAAGTGTACACTGTGTGGGACAGAAACTTTATGGGCCTCCAGCTAAATCCAAACTGCAATGGTTGATCATCACTCTGGAATCTATCTGTCTTCAATTTCTCTAGTCCATCTTCAAATGTATTTCTGTTGTTTGTCTTGAAAACCACTGTGGGAACATATTGTGTACTACGTATTTTTTTAAGCCCTCTATCCATTCCTGACACTGTTGTCAGATATGAGCTGTTCGTAGGCTTCTATGCAAGCCAGTTCAGATGGTTTTGCTGTAAAGAAGTGGATGGGGATCAGCATTTCCAGATTACAGCTCTTAATGCTCAAATAAGTGGAATGAATTATCCTTTGGATATACTGCCTCCATTGCTTAAGTTAAGAAGACAGCTTAGACAATACAATCCTTCATATTAGGTGAAATGAATTCCAATAAATTTGTGTTGGCAGATTCACACAGGAGATCTGTGGGAGAGTGAAAAACCAGGCTTAGGTTTTTCATTCATCCTCTTTAGATCACTGTTAGAAGAGTTATCGACAACTTCACCTACCTTCAATTTCTAAATAATCCAAAGTCTCTACTTTTGCTAGCCCAGCCATATCAAATGAAGTTTGTCTACAGTGCAAATGGGTTCTACTATGGATAATTGCCGGGGTTTGGAAATTGTTAACTCACTTGTCTACCATTGGTTTCTGTGTTGCCATAGTTATTATATTGTCTCCTTGCATTGGCTAGCCAAATGGCCAATCCCCTCCTTTGCCCAGCAGCCCTTATAAGCTGTGGGAAATTTGAATAAAGCTCTTCTTCGCTGTTGGATTCCCTGCATGGTCTCTGTCTCCTGGCTTAAGTGCCTCCGCCGCCAGTCCCTGCCACGAGGGACGGGCGGCAGGGGGGTGATTCCAGCCCTGAAAACCTTCACAGAGAGGCCGGCAGTGACCCCCCAGAAACCCCTCGAACTGCGACAGATAATCACAATCTCATTATTAAGCAAAAACTGTTGTAATCTAACTATATATTGAGGATGCCAAGTCCTTTACTTACCACTACACCTGTCTTGAAAAGGAGGTAATGGACTGTCTGTGTCACATCTGCAGCGTGCATGAGGTTGTGATAAGGATTTTTGTGTTTGCTGTAGCCAACCTCCAGAGCTTCCACAAAGGACACCAGGGCAGAAATGGGAATCTAAGTAAAGCATCACAGAATTAAAGAAAAAAAACCAAAACAGCTTTAATGACTAGCATTCAGAGAGGAGTATTTTGATAAGAGGTTTCCAATGAGCAGTTTTTACTTGACAAATAAACAAAACACTAAAACATCTGAAACAGGCACTCGAGAGAGAGTGAATTCAGGTTACTACTTCAACCTGGTTTTTCCATCCATAATTACATTATAGGTAAATCATTCCCACACATAAACACACAGAAATAAGTATACTATGAAATGCTGTCTGGAAGACACATGGATTATGAAAAGTAGCAGTGACCACTTTATTGATTGTCCCTGGAGAAATATTTCTAAATAGGCTACAAGCAACTGTCTGTTGCCTTCACAACCCACTGGAATACTCTGCTTTACTATTCACATTCAAGATTTTCTAATGAAACACATCATATAGCAAGTCATTTATCAGACCTCTAGGTTTTCACAGCAAAATCCAGCCTGTCCATCCTATGGGATTGCCATGTTTTTCTGACTCCAAGAATAACTGCAGACACCCAAAAAAATGCAATTGAGGGGATTTCTAGAGAGGAGACTATGCAGGCTGTAATGTATGCAACCGGTAACATGGGCAACATGGGTTCTCCAGTTTCACTGTTTCCATAGAGGAGCACTGCTGTTGTCCTCTTGTGTACATATAAGTAGAGGATGCAGCTCTGATCAGACACCTTCTTCAAAGATGTCTCATCAGACATGGGCAGTTTCTGAAGAAGTACAGGACCCAAAGACCTGTAAACTCTTTCCAGCCAAAGTGAGTGCAGACTCATGGGAATTGAAAATGAAAATGTCAAAAGAAGAAGGGACAGCAGAGTATCTGTGCGAGGGGAATGGTCAAGATCTAGATGGCAATGTTTCTGCCATCCAAATTTAAGCCTGTTCAAAGTTGGAGGAAAAGATACATAACATTTGTATCTGCAAATCTCTGTAACAATTACAAAACTATAGAAGAGTTAGGGTTGAAAGGGACTTTTAAAGATCATCTAGTCCACCTACTCCTGCAATGAGCAGAGGGACATCTCCAATTAGATCAGGTTTCTCAGAGTCCAATCTGACCTTGAATGCTTCTAGGGATGGGGCATCTACCATCTCTCTGGGCAACCTGTTCCAGTGTTTCACTACCTTCACCATAAAAAAAATCTTCCTTACATCTAGTCTAAATCTACCCTCTTTTAGTTTAGAATCATTATCCCTTGTCCTTTTGCAACAGGCCCTGATAAAAAGTTATTCCCCATCTTTCTTATAGGTCCCTTTCAAGTACTAGAAGGCTGGAATGAACATTCATCAGAACCTTCTCTTCTTCAGATGAACAACCCCAACTCTCACAGCCTTTCTTCATAGGAAAGGTGCTCCAGCCCTCTGATCATTTTTGTGGTCCTCCTCTGGAGTGGCTCCAACAGGTCCATGTCTTTCCTGTGCTGAGAACTCCAGACCTGGATGCAGTACTCCAGGTGGGGTCTCATGAGAGTGAAGGAGGGAGCAGAATCACTTACTGGCCTAACTAATCGTAATGAATTTGAATTTGCATTCATGATCTCTTGTTCTCTTTTTGTGCCTGCATACTTGAGGGTCCTATGAAGCTCAGGAAAATGACACCATCATTCTGAGAGGATCATATGCAGCATTTCCCACGGATGTCACATGGAAACCTGTTTGGAACCCCATCTACTTCACGGTGTCCCATTGCAATTGAAAGTACTACTTAAATCACATCTGGTCTTGCTTATTGAGGAAAGTGCAGCGTTCAAAAAATCTTCAAAGAGCACTAAAATTGCCTTTTGAATGGAACAAAGCAGGATGAGAGGGAAGTTGAACAAAATCTAGGATGGAAGAAAATAACCATCTTCTAACTACTGACCTTGAAACGGTTGATCAGATCATAGCGCGTGAGAAGTTCATAGAAAATGAATTTCAGTGCATGATCCCCACTGGCATCGTTTAGTGCAAATACATCAAAGGACCACTTGTCAACATTCTGCAAGAGTGGGTAGAAAAGGCAATTAATATGGTCATCCCTTTTATCATCATAGTTCAATTTCTCTCACTTTCTCTCACAATCTACAAATTGAGAATTAGAGAAGTGATGTCAGCATATATTTTCTTTTTTAATAAATTCTTCAATTCCATTTAACCAATGCAGAATCATCAGGATACTCACAGTATCAGTATACTCATCAGTATTGTATGACTTGAATTTAGGAAGCTTCCATTAAGAACATGTATGCTGTTTGCTTATTCTAAACATGGCAATTCTCTACACTAGAATTTAATCCCCAAAGGATGAATCCTAATAGATAAAAATTCTGGTGTGCTTTAGTACCTGAAACATTGAGATGGCCTATTGGGGCTGATTTTACCTCTCTCTGTCCTCTACCCACATGTTATGTCTATAAAAAAGAAAATCAAGAGATTGAGGGCGGAAAGTTCACTTCCCAGCTCATAAAGCTAAAGTATAAGGTATAAGCCTTCTTGCAGAAGGTCAAGTTCAATTATCAACTTTTAGGGAAGGCCATGGAAGCTGACAGCACTCATTATCTAGCAAGATGAAGCTACTTGATCTCAGAATTGGATGTTTCTGAAACTTTAAGAAACTTTCTCTCATCCCAACAACAAAGAGATGCAGATGGGAGTTACAGCTAGTAGAATGATATACAGATCAACCATGTAGCTGCATCTGGCACAAGACCAGCCTTCAAGTCAAATGCAAAAGACATTTTAATCACTTTGTGGTTGGTCCACTACACATCAATATAGCTACTGAACTTCCTCTGTTCTGAATGAGACCAACATATTTTGTTACCGCCTCTTTCCAGCATGAGGTGATCCTTCCTACTCACATAGTGCTGATTACAGATAGAGCTCAGTATACCTCTTGTGGCACTACAGTCCACAGAGAGGCTAATTAGCGAGTGAACATCAAGGATGCTCAATATTCAGCTCTTCTTTCACCTATCCCAGTAAATTACTTGCTTACCGAGCCGCTGATATTAGAAGCTGCGAGGAGCTGAAAGATTGAATGCAGTGTCAAGCTTCTCCAGAGATGATTTGTGGCCCAAGTCACAGAAAAGCAATCATAAATTACAGTTTTTCAACACTTTCATTAGGCATTGGAGAGTAAAAACAACCAAGAGATTAAAAAGTTCCACCAAGAAGCCCTTGAACAAGCTTAGAAAGTGAGAAATAGAAATGAGAGAAAAATAATGCCCAGGGCAACCACTTGGACAATTTAAAGTGTTTTCTTTTTTTTTTTTTTTTGGCATTTGTATTTTTTAATCACTTATTTTGGTCATTGAAGTAAATTAATTTAAAACTTGCATATATATAGTAATTTGCTTCTGGGTCATAAGACATCAAAAATAATGTGTCAACTGTGCTGAAAGTTAATTCACTGTAAGGCAATCTTATCTTGTAGAAATAAAAGGAGTTTGTTCCTTTATTGCATTTTCCCTGCAGATAATGTTGTAGTCTTGCCTCAGATAAAATTTACCAAATTGTGAAACTGCAGACTAGCACATCCGAACTGTTCTTCTGCATGAAAGAATGGTTAATCATATAGATGACAAGTTTCACAGGAGAGTTGTTTAGATTTTAGTGAGGGAGAAATTCTTGGTCTTGTCAGTCAAGAGAAGTTTTGCTATGGACAATAATGACAGAAGCATTTTACTCTGAATCACTGCGGGGGGGGGGGGGAATCTTCTTACCAGAAGCATGAAAGTGTCATAGATGGCCTATAGGCTTGCAGCAACACCAGTTACACTTTGAAACTTAGTGGATTTTACGACCTTAAAAAAATTTTAACACAGAAGTGACCCCTATACTGGGGAGAGATCTAAAAGCAGAGATAATTTCACACATGACTTGTGACAGAGGAGAAAAACTTTTTCTTCTCCCTAAGGAGAGCAGGAGAAGCAAGGGAAACTTTCTGTTCTATACATGCTAGATTACTGGCCCTGTAGGCTCAGTAGAAGTGCATAAGATGCTCTTAGTCACATATGACAACTGTAGTGTAACAGAAAATAGATCCAAGACATAATACTACTCAGTCCTGTGTCCTGATTACTTGGCCACTGATCCACTGCTTCGGGGAACCTAGAGATGAAGACAAACACTAATTGTTTTTAAAGTCAGTTTCTTGACTTTGTCTCTTCTTAACCTTGAAGACTTGTTTTATAAGTCAACAAGTAGTATTTCATTGTTTTACTAAAACTAACCCCAGTTTGCCACAAAGCTGTGATTCCACAGGTTTTTATTACTCAGTGCAGATGTCCTGTTGGCCATAGCAGCAAAAATGATAGCATGCAGTTCAAAAATAAGCTTGTTTTGACTTCATGCCATCTCAATCCTTGTACTTATTAACATGACTCTGAGGGGAATGTTGATTATGGCAATCCAGAACAGCTGAAGAGATGTGTGTGGTACACTCCTACACCCTTTTGCATGCTTAAATCATCAGGTCATTTTACAGAGCACAATAAGCACTCAGGTAGTTGTAAGGTTTTTTTACTAGACCTTACTGGACCAAAGCAAGGCATAAAATACAACATTTTCAATGGAGGAGATGGGACTGAGAAATTTAAGATGAAATTTTTAAGACAGAAAAATTCACAGAATCACAGAATATACTGAGATGGAAGGCAGCCATGAGGATCATTGAGTCTTACTCTTAGCATGCACAGGACATCCCCAAGAGTCACTCCATGTGCCTGACAGCATTGTCCAAATAGTTCTTGAACTCTGGTAGGCTTGGGGACCCCACTTCCGTGGGGACCCTCTTCTGCCTTCTTCAAAATAAGTAACTCCCATTTCAACCACATCCACTACCAAAACCAAAGCCAGTCAGGCAAAAATATGTTCTCACAACAGTTTTGGAAAAATATACATTCTAGAGTCCACAGTGGCCAAGTGGGTGTTATTTCACCCTGAGCAAAATTATTTTGTTGTTATTGATTTATTTTAACTTACTCTAGCATGATCAATTCTCTGTATGACTCTTAATCATTTGAAAACATAGAAAAAAGAGAGGGATTCTGTAAGGTTTAAGTCAACTGAGAGTAGCTGATGGATCTTCAAATGTCTTGTTGAAGGAACTCAAGAGAAGAGGTGCCATTATAGATATATTCCCTCATAAGCTGGTTGGAGCATAGTTGCAAAAGAACAAAGAATTTAGATTCCACTTGCACGAGTGAGGGTAATGAAAAGGATTGGGTACCCTAAGTGTAAGTCTTTCCAGTGTGGAGCATTGCAACAAGATGTCTTCATGAGCTTTACACTGCGTATTGCCCCACTTTATCACCTTTTTTCCCCATTGCATGGCATGGTTGAACCACATGCAACATGTAATCTGCAAAGCTGTATAGGCAGCTGGTTGCTAACATCTGTTTGTAGTCTTGATAATTCCTGTCTAAGTCAAGAATTTTGCAATTGTCCCATGGATTGAACCTTTGGGGTTTTTTGAGACTAATTATGACTAATCATTTTTCCTCTGAAACCTCAAAACTCATAAAAGGGTCAATATTCATAAACTGATTGTCACCTTGAAGACCTGAAGCATGAGAAATTCCCTTCTCTTACAGCAATTGATCCTTTTCCTTCTCCACCTCTCTCCATCTGTATTTTCTTTCTTCCCTGTGGGATGTTGTGATTAATTCCCAAGTCCTTGATTTAATCACTGTAATCTAGAACAGAGCTGTAACCTTCACAACCTGAAAATGGCCACAGCCTTGAACTCTGTTCTTTCCTTTATTGAAAGGATATTCCCTTAGGTCTCTTAAATGATTAATGTCTGTGAACTAAACTAATTTCAGAGAGAAGGAAAGGCCAAGTACTAAGACTCCCTTATCAAGTTGAATATCACAGTATTATCTTATGCTTTGTATAGACCCCCTTTCAATACCTTTTTACTGGGATTACCTTTAGCACTCCAATTACAGCTGGTGGGTAGCTCAAGCCAACCATATTTGAAGTCCGTCTGTACATTCTACCAAGACAAAATAGATAAGGCAACACATAAATAGAATTAAACAAAATAAAGCAATCAACAAAAATCATAAAACAACAGACCACTACAGGAGACCTTATTTAGCCCAGGAAACCCTAACTGCAATTTGGTTTTTTTTCTTTCCATCTTGTTCCTAACTTGCACAATATCCTCTATACTATTCTTATTGTATAGCCTAATTTGAGCCTATATGCTCCCCATTATCTCATAGCTTGGCTACCCATCAGGCCATGACAAAGAATTTGCCAATACAAGGTCTTCATCGGGGGAAAGGCTACACTCAAATAACAAGATGTTCCCAATTTTCCATTGCATGTGTCTGTACTGATCTTTCAGTTCCCTTAGTCCTTGCTGGTCCACATGCAAGCTAATTCTGAATGTTCCTCAGAAATCATTTGTATGCAATGAATCAACTCCAGTTTGGTACAGCTGTTACTTTTGTATGTATGTTGTCAAGATTAGTATAAAACCTTTTGGGTGTTCACCCCATGTGTGTGTTTCAGGGAGTAAGAGAGAAAGAACAAGGCAAAAATCAACATCTGTAACCATACTAAAAGCATGTACGTAGCAGATTTTAAACTTGATTATAAAGCATATTTTAAAAAGATTATAAAGTGTGTACTAGATTTTAAACTTGTTTTCAGGGCACACTGTGTTTAACAGGCTTAGTGAATGCAGAAGCATTGTCATAGCTAAAAAGCCTTTTCACAGGTCATCCTTTTTTGCCCTTAGGCATCACTGGAGTAAAAGGAGATGATGGAGGGCTCTCCCATCTGAAATGATGCTGTGTCAAGTCTTCCTTCACTTCCATTTTTCTTTGTCATGTTCTGTACTCAGACCTGAAAAAAGTCATCCCCCTTTGAAGAATTATATTCACCCATTCCTCAAATTACAAAATTTCTTATCCCTTCCTCCCTCCAGTCAGAAGCTCCACAGCCTTCTCTTAAGTGACAATTCAGGCAGAATCCCTTTCCCTTAGCTCAGGAGAACCACAACCCTCCTCTGGTGCCACATTATATCTCCTTTGGGCCACGGCGATTCAGATCAGCTGCAAAACAGCCTACTACAGCCTACCCTGCAGCAGTTAATTTACTTCCTTGTTAAGCAAGTCCCCCACCAAGAGTGAGGGTTAATTCACAAATAGCCTGTCAAACCTAGGAGAAACCTGTTCCAAGGAAAAATGACAGGTTTATGCTTATCACAATTTGCTGCCACTCTTAACACATGTACAGTAACTGGTGCACAGATAAAAATATTGGCTATAATCATGCCGAAGGAGGCTTTTGTGTATCTGTGTGGCTTGTGGTCTACTCTCTGATACACCCAACCTCCTGCACAGAGGGCTGTTAGGCTGTCACTGCAATTCTGATGAACAGTGAGTGCTCTGCTCTTCCATTCCTGACTTGAATTTTGCTATTACAAAATTCTCCCAGGGATCTGGGAGCTGCTGTCTTTCAGGCCGTCTAAAGACTGTTGACAGTTTCACATGTGCCAGCCCTCCTTCTAGCTTGAATGAAGAGAGTCAGCAAAGAGTTGTTACTTGATAAGAAAAGGTAAGATTGGAAGTGAGTCCAAATTGAAATGATTAAATGCTTTAAAGGGTTCAGAAAACATAATCAGTTCTGGCAACAGATTCTGATGTAAATCGCAACGGGGAAGGCTAAGAGGACTCAATGGCTTTTTTGAAATCCCCCTGAACTCTAAAATTTTCACATCAATCTTGATCTATAGTTCTTTCCAGTAATACTATGATAAAGGATTTTGTTTTGTTTCTTAGCAGTTCTTCATGAGAAATACTGGACCACGGAAGTAAACAGAGCCAAGGGGGAGTTTGGTCTGGCCTGACTGAATATTGAATGCTGTCTCTCCTGACCAAGGACTATGCAGAAATGCATATTCTCTGTCAAAATTACACCAACTGTGCTATTACATCTGTGCTATACTAAGAATAGATGAAACAGAACTGTTTCAGATTGCAATCTGTTACTTAATCCCAGATTTTGAGGCGTTATCCAAATCTGTGTAGGAACATCATTAGAAGCATATTAAAGTGTTCTTCATTCAATAGAGTAACCTACTAGTTCTCTGAGGTCTTCCGCCCTAAGGTACTGTCCTCCACCTCCCGTAATTGTGCAAAATCTGTGGTACCTGGGCACTTACTAGAACAAAGTAATTACATCCTACTTCACCTTTCTACAAATATCCCAGCTTGCACTGCATGGACAATACTCCTGAACCGGGGTTTTTCCTCTGTCCTTTTGAGCATCATCCCCATTTGCCGCGTGAAGGTAGAAGCCAACCAGTCACGGACCTCTGAGGGCACAGAGTCAGACTGAATATCACTGAGTTCATCTTCTGTGTCCAGTAAACGCCTAGAAGGGTGAGGAACAATCGGTAAACAGACTCCCTTAGAGACCACTACAACATCATTAAGAAAAAAACCCTTCACATATATTCTAATTAAAGCAGCTGTTAAAAGCCTTTGGTTTATCATCCCTAATCAAACACAATTATATAAGTCTTCAACAGTTTGTTTATTCTCTCGTATACTTAAATTTCATCTTGTAAAACTCACTACTAGGCTGACAAACAAGAAGTATCAGCCTTCTGAAGCACAGCTACATAATCATTCACTGACTTCACATCTTCAGCTCATCAATATTTCCAAACTTTCTGCCCTTCAGAGGTAATTTATGGTCATTTCTAACTTCTGAGTTAGTAACACACAGTCCTCTCCTTTCCCATTCTGATCATCTGTGGCAACTCCACAAGTGCATTTGCCACTGGATAAATGGCATATAACAGAAAGAGGAACTCCTCTGCAATGTCTTACCAGTCTACCCCTATCATGACCTGGAGTAAATTTTTTTTTAATTTCAAAGATATGATACAAGCGAAAAGATTTAACATTATTCAAAAAGAATAAATTAGTAGGAATTTAGAAACTTTCAGAAAAAGTGGGATACAATTATTATGAAAACATTTCTCCATGAGAATGTATATTACATTTATGATTTCTTTTTATCTCCTTCCCTGCCCCACAAAATTTAAAAAAGCTTTTAAACCAAGGACTGAAGATCTGCTCTACACAGAATACAATATTGTAATGATTAAAAACATATTTTCTGCCAGTAATAAATTTTGGCTCAAATTTCCCAATTGACATTTAAGTTACAATTTTATGTCATTGGTACTAGATATAAGAGTGCTGATGTCTGGAGTTAACTCACCTAGTTTCGTCAATGTATACTGACTCAAGAACAGTCGCAGCATATTCCAAATTCTTCTTTAAGTCTACAACCGAAGCTTCCCCTCTCTCTAATTGCTTTACCAAAGACCGCAATCTAAAAAAAAAGCAAAACAAAAATCTGATGACTATAAAGAGAAATAGGTTTGACAGTGAGTACCAGTTCCCAGCATGAAACCTAGCATACATGCTTGACAAGTGAAAATTTTGGAAGTTTACAAGTTTCTTGAAGCCACATGCAAGAAATCAACAAAAATCACTTTTCAAAGATCAGTTACAATGATGCCAAGCAAACAGTACAATGCATTTAGGCTCAAATAAGTCTGCGAGTTATCACAGTCATAGAATCATAGAATATGCTGAGTTGGAAGAGACCCATCAGTATCATTAAGTCCAACTCTTGGCCCTATGCAGGCCACCCCAAGAATCACTCCATGTGCCTGAGAGCATTGTCCAAATGCTTCTTGAACACTGGCACGCTTGATGCTGTGACCACTTCCCTGGGGAGCCTGTTTCAATGCTCTACCACCCTCTGGGTGAAAAACCCTTTCCTGGTAACTAACCTAAACCTTCCTCAGCTCAGCTTCATGCCATTTCCTCAAGTCGTGTCACTAGTTACACGTGTGAAGAGATTACTTGCCTCTCTGCTTTCCCTCATGAGGACTTTGAATACCACAATGAGGTCTTCTGTCAGTCTCCTCTTCTCAAGGCTGAACAAACCAAGTGACCTCAGCCACTTGTCATAAGGCTTCACCTCCAGACCCTTCACCATCCTTGTAGCCCTCCTTTGGATGCTCACTAATAGTTTAATGTCTTTTTTATATTGTGGTGCCCAAGGTGAGGTCTCACCAGTGCAGATTAGAGCAGGACAATCACCTACCTTGACCAGTTGGATAATTTAAAATAGAAATCATGCGGAATTAACACAGGAGCTGAGAGGACAATTTCAATCCAGCCATAAGACAAAAGTAAGTTTTTGAATAGTATCTGTTAATAAACAATAGCCATTCATAATGATTGATGTATACATATGCAAAATTGTATTAGAGTATATTCAGGAACATTACCATAGAAATACTATACAAGGTTAGAAAATGCTATGATTTTCATTAGATCAAGAGGCCACCCTTAGACTATCCTGTCTATACTAAACAGAACTCATGGAAGTTTTATCAGATTATTATTATTGTTGTAAGGGGGAACAGACTTTTTGAAAACAAAAATTTGTGCAAAAATTGTCTCATCTGTCAAAGACAATTAATATATTTGTGTAATTTTCTTTTCTCTTTTCCTTTTTCACTCTATTAAATTAGAAAAAGAAAGGAAGAAAGAGAAGAATAAAATCTAAAGGGAAGGAGCAAAATCTAAATATTTTCAAACAATCCAGTTTGTATGCTTATAATTAGAAGAAAATTATCATTTCGTTAAAAGGAGAATGGGATAAAGACTTGAGAATTTAAAACATTTTTGTGAATGTCCTCTTCCTTGTTAAACAGAAGCTAAATAAACATTCAAATATATATTTAACAGTGTAGCAGAAATCATCAATTGTTAATTTGTCCTGTTCAAGATGCAAAAATGTAGAGGAGCAGTCATGTCACCTATAATTTGTCCTCTAATTAGGAGACTATTCTTCCTCATCTTTTTCTGTATTCTGTGGAGTAAAACAGCCTTTTCCACAAAGCAATTCAGAACTAGAGCCCAATATAGGTGTCTGCTTTCACTTTATTAACTGTCATGGCTAGGCTTTGCGAACAAAGATTTCGGAAAGGTTCTATCCACATTAAGCAAGATAGACATGTCCAATTGCAAAAGGCACAACAGAAAGACTCCTTAGGTGGTATATTCCGCAAGGCACGATTCTTTCTGCGTTGCCTTTTCTCCTCAAGGGTGATCCTGTGTGCGTTCTCAAAAGCATCAGCAGCGTTAAAGATGGTGTGTCTCCAGGTCTCCCGATTGGAGGCCAGAGTAGACCAGTTATGGTGATCAATATGGCCAAGGCTGAGATGTTGTTTCAGGGAGTCCTTGTATCTTTTCTTCGGGGCTCCTCTCTTGTGGCAGCCAGTAGCAAGTTCACCATAGAGCAAGATCTTAGGGAGGCGGTGGTCCTTCATCCTGGAGACGTGCCCTGCCCAACACAGCTGTGTTCTCAGCAACATGGCCTCAATACTTGTGGTTGCTGCTTGTTCTAGAACAGATGTATTGGTCACATAATCTGACCAGTGGATGTTAAGGATTGTGTGGAGACAGCGTTGATGGAAACGTTCTAGGAACCGCAGGTGGTGGCAGTAGATGACCCATGATTCGGAACCATGTAAGAGTAGACAGCACAAGGGCTTTGTAAACACTGATCTTGGTACTTTTCTTCAAGTGTTTATTACACCATACTCTTTTATGGAGTTTTCCGAAAGCACTATATGCCTTTGCTAACCTGTTGTCTATCTCTCCATCAATCTTACCATCCGAGAAGATGAGGCTACCTAGGTAATTAAACTGCTGGACTGATTTGAGCTCTGATTGGCCAATGGTGATATGGGGATGATGGGGGACTTCCTGAAGTGTTGGTGGATGGAGAACTTCTGTCTTCTTTAGACTGACTTCCAGCCCAAAGAGCTCAGCAGCATCTGCAAAGCAGGATGTTAAACGCTGCAGAGCTGCTTCTGTGTGGGCGACAAGGGCGGCGTGTCCTAGTTAGGACAGCTGAGATCAGTTCATCATGGTGGGTGTAACCCAAAACTGTATTCTATAGCCTTCCTTGTCATTTCCCAGAAACTAGACTATTGTTGTCAATAGACTATTCGCACCCCTCTGCCCATAGAGCCTGACTCCTCAGGCTATAAACTAGGTGTTAAGAGGCCTGTGAGATAGGAGGATGTTTCTGTCCTCACACCCTTTGTGAAACTCCCTGCCCTGAGGGGAGTACAAAGCATTCCTGCCTGAACTGGAGGATATATAATCTTGGAGTTTTGGAACATTTTTCAACCCACTCGTGGGATCCAGAGGAAGGCTGCATCTCATCGCTCTCAACCAGACTTAGACCATCACTGGACTGCGATCACCACTTTGGCCAGACTGCAGCAGCTCTCCCACCAGCAGGTTCTTCCCCTCTCCCTTTACTTTGGACTCAAACAGGGCCCAAGGAACACCATTTTGTTCATGCCCCAGGGTACTGGGTTATACATTTGGGTTTTTTGTGGGTTGAGACCAATTGTTTGTTTGTATTATTGTACTTACTGTATTATTTTAATAAATTGTTATTCTGACTTATAATCTCTCCTTTGAGTTGAGTTCATTCCCCCTGCTGGTTAACTTTTAAACCAGCACACAGCGTCATCAGCATAAAGCAGCTCCTGGACAAGATGATTTAAGGTCTTAGTGTGGTCCTTCAGTCGCCTTAGGTTGAAGAGGCTTCCATCAGTACGGTATCGAATGTAGATACCGTCCTGATCCTTGAGGTCTGCCGTGGCCCTTTGGAGCATCATGCTGAAAAAGACTGTGAATAGAGTTGGTGCAAGAACACAGCCTTGTTTCACAGCATTGGACATTAGGAAGGGCTCAGAAAGTGCATCACCATATCTGACTTGGCCGCGCTGATCCTCATGAAGTGAGATGATCATTTTAAGGAACTTGGGGGGACAACCTAAACATTCCAAAATCTGCCATAGACCTTTTCTGCTCACAGTATCAAAAGCCTTGGTGAGATCAACAAAGGTTACATAGAGACCTTTATTCTGTTCCCTACACTTCTCTTGCAGTTGTCTGAGAACAAATACCATGTCTATGGTGCTCCTGTTGGCTCTGAAACCACATTGGCTTTCAGGCAGAATTCCTTCTGCTATAGCGGGTATTAATCTGTTCAAAAGTATTCTTGCCAGGATTTTGCCAGCAATGGAGAGCAGAGTAATACCATGGTAATTTGAACAGTCTGATTTAACTCCTTTCTTCTTATACAAAGTGATGATGACTGCATCAAGAAGGTCTGATGGTAGTTCACCTAGTTCCCAAGAGCGCACCACAAACTCGTGAAATTTAGCATGGAGTGCATGGCCCCATGTTTCCAGATTTCAGGTAGAATTCCATCAACCCCAGCTGCCTTGCCAATTTTCACCTGCTGTATGGCCTTAAGGTTTTCTCCCATAGAGGGGGCAGTATCCAATTCATTCTTCACTGGTTGTTGTGAAATGGACTGAATAGCTGAGTCTTGAACTACACGGCTAGTACTGAAAAGAGTCTGAAAGTGTTCAGACCATCGATTCAGAATGGAGGTTTTATCTGTCAGAAGCGTTTGACCATCAGCGCTGAGTAGAGGGCCTTGGACTTGGTATGTAGGCCCGTATGCTGTTTTCAAGGCCTCGTAGAATCCTCTGTGATCACCTGTATCTGCGCATAATTGAGTTCTGTCAGCTAGATGATCCACCACTTGTTCTGGATGTCACGGAGTTTCTGTTGGAGCTTGCTGCATGCAAGATGAAAGGCTGCTTTTCTTATGTGACAGGATGGCAATGCAAGGTGCACTTGGTGAGCAGTTCTCTTCTTCCTCAACAATTCCTGGATCTCTTGATTGTTTTCATCAAACTAGTCCTTGTTCATCTTGAAGGAGAACCCTAAAAATGCTTCAGAGGATTGCTGGATGCTGTTTTTAATATGGTGCCAGAGTGTTTGAGTAGAGGGATCTAAAGAATCTACCGAATGATTTTCAAGCCTAGTTTGAAGTAGTAGGAGCCTAACCTCCTACAGTAGACATATGCATGAAGTTCTTAAAATGAAGTGAGTATCTGTATTTCCTTGCCATTACAATGCCCCTGTGGCATCAGTGCTTTCAAAGGAAATCAAGTCTCCATGGGGCTGTATTTCATGGAAGAACTGAAGAGCAGTCAGTCTGCCTGTGCGCACTGCACCAACAGCTCTTTCAAGCTGGGTTTCCTTCCCCCCAATTTTTCCTAACATAAAGAGTGAGCCTATGGAGAAAAAAAAAATCATAAAAAATATCGATCGTTTCTCTGGCTACGTCACATAAATGCCACTCCTGCTAAGAGTGGTGCTGCTGACACACAGCTACATATTTAGCTTTACAAAGAATCTTGAGCAACAGGCAGA